GCGGGGCCGTGAGGGGGCTGAGGAGGGGGACCCTGAGGCGGAGGTTGCCCTCAGCCCGGCCGGCGGAGATGGGGTCCCCGGCGGGTCGAGGGAGAGCGGAGGGTGCCCGGGGGCCATTTCTTCCCTCGCCGGGAGGGATGGGCGCAGAAATCCTGTCAGTGTGGAGCCGCGGCCCGCGCTGGCGCCTCGTGACGGCTATTTGCATTTATTTTCGAAATAGTGCGCTTAAACTTGATATTTTCGTGTCGTAATAATAAAAGCCGCCTGTTGTGACATCTTGGGCTTGACCTGAAGTACGAGGCTTGTCTTCACGCAGGCCCTGCTAGCGCCCAGTTCGAGAGCCTCAAAACTAAAAATAAACTGGAAATATCCCCAGCCCTCAAAACTCGTTGAGTGCTTCAAACCTAGCAGTTGGCTTTGTAAAGCCTGTACCTTAGATTTACTGTTAAATTACATCTTTCTTCTCCTCCCCACCGCAGTCCCTCACACGGCTTGCAGCGAGATGCTCGTAAGCAGCGTCGCGACTCATCCGAAGAGCCCAAAGCCCTTGGGTCAGGCTTCAGAGAAGTTTAGTTTAGGTTGAATCTCATTAATTTCCTTTAGATGCACTTTGGGTTCTTTTCAGCCTTTTTTCTCAGAAATCGGGAGATTTTTCCATCCTACGGCATCCGCAGCAGCTGGCTCCTTTCCTTTCCACATGCGTTCACAGGGAAGGCCAGAGCTGGGATTTCAAACAGCAGAGGGAAACATTAAAATGGCAAAAATTGGTTTTCCCAGCCTGCGACCCAGAATACAAAACCCCAAGGAGCATGTGTCTGCCAGAGGAATGCCTCCATGACAGCAGCGCTCTCTTTCCTCCCCTCTGACTGGGGCAGAAGAGGAAACCAGAGCACGCTCACTTTTTCCCGATGACTATTATTTCCTGTATTATGGTAATAACTACAGCCATCCTGCTGACAAGCTCCTGTCCCAAGTGGTTAGGCTAGGCAGGCCCTGGTTACTGTGGGATGGCAAAAATGCTTTCCCTTTGCACAGCCCTTTTTCTTTTTCCTGCATCACTTTTGGGCATGGGCTTCCAGCAATGCCAACAAGACTGGATCAGCATGTTGTAAACAGACCTAATTGTTCCCCCCCCAGTGTTTGAAGACTTTTAAGATGCACATGGCTCTCAGAATAGGCAAGTAAAATTGCTGTGATAATATTTCGCATGTAGGGTACACTGATCTAAAAGTGCATCCCTGTACAGTTGCTTTTCTGCTGCATTACGGTTAATGCTATTATGCCTCTTCCATCATCCTTGTTCTTAGGAGTTCTTGTAAGTAATAAGGGTCTACAAGCCCACCCTGCAGACCTCAAAGTCCTCCTTGACCACCCTCATTCACCCATAATTTGTAGGGTGCTGCAGAGTGGCTCCTATCTGCACCTCATTTCCAAGTGTCATGTACAAGACACCCTAAGTCCACACAGCCGGAACTGCAGTCATTTCAGCCAGACAGCTAACACAAGTGTGAAAGCAGTCCCTTTTCATTTGACAGGCTTTAATCTTCATTAAACCTTGCTCGGCTGTGGTTTGGGGCTATATGATGGGTTGCCAGTGGTCAATAAAGAAGGTTCACTTGCCCTTCAGATTAAATATGAACTGGGTAAAGTCTCAGTTGCTTCTATCCATTTTTTATTTTTTAATTACTCTAATGGGTGAAGGATCCCCAGGCTTCTGTTAAGACTGAGGTAAAACACCGAGTGCAAAAAGAGAGTCCAATAATCAGTGATTTCTGGGGACTCTGCAGAACTGAACAATTTCCAAGGAAATTGGGCATCTCTGTACAGTACAGGGAAATGACTCATTTCCAACTAAAGAAGATAAAGCTTACTGCCGTGCAGAGAGCTTGCAGATGCACTGCTGAACATCCTAACTAGGCACTGAGAAGTACTTTTTTTAAATGTACCTGGGAGTGCTGAGGTATAACGCAGGCGAGTGTCGCACCCATGTACAACTATGGGGCCCTGATGTTCTGGCCACAGGCACACAAACTCTGTCAGTGACCATTTTGGGGAGCAAAAGCACAGCAGAAGCCGATCCTTGGTTGCAGACGCTGATGATATTCTTTATTCCAGAAGGCACGAGGCTCGGCTGCACTGCTGCAATCCCAGTGACCTTCACAGGGATCAGAGAGAACTGAGCCTGAAAGCTTTAAGTGAAAAAGCTAATCAGTGATTGCCAGCAGAGACATTGTCTAGTACTTCTCCTGTGTTGGCCTGGAGCAACTCCAGGGCGCTCACAGATTTGTCCCACTGCAGAGAGAAACTTCAGTCTGACTAATACTGTCAAGCCTAAACACCAGATTTTACCTGTTAAAATCCCATGACGCTAGGTTTAAAATATTCAATGATGATGTGGTCAGCAGAGCTGTTTGCCTGCATATTGTCTCCCGGATCCCTGGTTCCCCTATACTGCTAAGAAAATGCATTCAAATCCCCAGGAAGAAGCACATTAATACAGCTGCATCCCTCTTGATCAAACTTTCCAGACAGCTCAGCATTTTCTAAATAAAAACATACGTTTGGAAAGGTTTCAGGCAAGTAACCTAAAAGCGAGGGCACACTGACCTCTTCTGGACATTTCCAGAAGTGGCAACAAGGTAGAAAAGAGCTTGCACAGCTTTCTGTGCTTGGTTATACGTAACTATCCAGGGGCGACAAAGTAAAGGTCATATTTTCCTGTATTCAGTGCGTAATAGTTAAGTCTTCTCCTCCAGTTATTTTTATCTTGATAAGGATGTTCCCTTAACCACACACATTTACTGCAAAAATTTCTGTCAAGCTTCTCACCAGCCGAAGAGTATTAGAGCTACTATTCTATCCATCTCTATTTCTGCCCATTTCTTTCTGGAATCCAAGGATTTCTTTTAAGTGCATAGCAGTGGCCCACAAACACTACTAGCATGACCAGAAAAGCCATCACTTTACTACCCCCAAGAAAAGGTCAACTCTCAAGCATACTATCATGTAGCTAGTAATTTGCCTAGGTTCAGAGTTCTGCAGAGGAGCAAAAAGACTCCAGAACTCCTATCTGTATTTTACCTGTTTAAAAACTAAAAGTTTCCACCTCTTATGTGCTCCTGTTTGCCCTTGTAAGACATACTTACTAGCTCCAGCAATAGCAATCCTTTCTACAGCTAGAAGCCAACATCTTCCATCAATAGTAATGGCACTCAGGGCCTATATATATATAGTAGGCAGACATGGAAATAGTTGAGCTGATTGAGATCTGTAGGCTCATGCATGTCTGATGCAATACTATGCATAGCCTGGATTGACACTGCGTACATCAGTAGGATTGACCACCAAGTCAAAAAGAGCCATGTTTCTCAAGGAGCATGACTTTGCACTACAAATACACGCTGTTGTTTAAAGCAGGTATTGTTACATTAAGAGAAATTTGCAGATTGGGTTCTCACTGAGAAGGGATTTATCAGCTGTGTTTCAAGTGCCGGGGTCCTGAGTGTAGCCTCAGGCTTTCCTTGCCCCAAGAAGTCTCACCTGGACCTGTAGCCAGCCCCCTTTGCTCATCGACTGTGACTTCCATTTAAGCGCAGGCCCAGGAGACTCGGCCGTTCTTTGAGGCAATTGTAGGATAGTCCTGGCTGTAGTTCTGTCTTTTGACTTTGCTGGGTAAGCTCTGGACTTGTGAGTAGTGGTGTTTCTTAGTGTTTCTAACTTGGTTTCCTGGGTAGGCTGTGCATTTGCTGCCTTTCTTTGCCTCATCATCACTGGATGGTTGATGAAGTTGGTTGCTGCCCGACTATCTTTAGGCATGGTAGGACTGGGTCCTATCTGCAGGCTTATCCACAGTGCTATCAGCATCCTTTGCTCCTAGCTTGTTTTTGCTTGTGCAGCAGCCCCGCTCGTGTTGCTTTTTAGCACTAGATACATTATGTTAAGATGCTTAACATGTTCCCCCCACTCCAAGCACTACATCAGCCAGTGAGTTTCTATCATATTTCCATGAAAGAACAAATACCTCTGTGCCTTAGAAGTCCCCCTTAGCTGGGCAGTCATAGCTCTGTTTCCAATCCATCTGTAATTATAGCCAAATTACACAGCAGCTAAGTAAGATAAAGCTAGATAGAGGCAGATATCAATTAAGAAGAAAAAAATGAAAGCTACTCATTTCCTCTTCAGAACTATACGTATGCTAATTGAAGTAAACATTCATTAAGCCCATTAAATGAAATTTAGGTTTGATAATGCATTAAAGGCTGCTGGAAGCAATGGTATAGCAGTTCATAGCCTGCAGCTTTGGGGAAGGAAGGTTTAGGTTGTACCACAAATGATATGTAGCTTCCGCAAGGGCATTAGGAGTTCCCCTGACTGAGTATCAATCCATGGAGCTGGCAAATGCCCTAAGGCCTGGGGATTAAATTATATTAATTAGTCTTGATAGTGGGGGTTTGTTCAAGACAAAGTTATTATATTTGTACAAACTGAATGCAATTATAGTGCTCTAGCCCATCTCTTGTCCTTAATGTAAATGGTTTATACCATGACAAGCATTGTAATTCTGACTGCCACGCATCCACACTAGGTGATGTCTTCCCAGCAAGTAATGGGAATGGCTTATCAAGGCCAGGCAAGCCTAGATCACGTGAAGACTCCTGTGTGTCTTCTGCCACAGCCTGCATCTTAAGCTCTGCTGGGGACGTTAAAGCAGACCTGTTTTCCCCAGTTCAGTTTAAACAGTGGAAGATGAGACAACACAACTAGGATCAAGAGCAAGCGACAACTTGTATGACTGCAAAGGGCTCTTTTGAAGGTAAAAGCGTCACCCCACAAGTACCTAACCATCTTCACAACCCCACTATAGAGGTGCTTGCTGACTCCAGTCCCCCTTTGGATGGCATTCATTAACACAGGCAGACAACGAAGCTGTCAACCAACCAATGGCCCAGGACTGTTTGCCTTCCCTGCTGTTTATAGCTTTAATTAATAAAGAAAACAGTAGACTGGGCTCATGGCCAAGTGCAGCCTTAAGTTTCTCTGTAAGAGAAAGGCAGAGTGTGTGGGTATTTCTGAGACAGTGTCAACACAGCATATGCTGTGGGACAGCAGCGTGGAAAGCACTGAGTGCAGTAGCACCCAAGACACTGTTATAGTTGTCACTGTTATAAATTGTAATAGCATCCAGGATATCCTTTTATGTGCCTGCCTGTAGAACATGCAAGGATCCCCGTATTAAAAATCTTGTAATTGAAGCACACTTGAAATGGGGACTTTGACTCCTGGCTTTTTCATATGGCTGCTCATTGCTGTCTCCCCTTATAGCTTATTTTCTAAGGCGTGTAGACCACCATGTCTAAGCGGTGTGTTGTTTTAAAGGCACTTTAGGTTAGAGGGATTTTCTCAAATCAGTCCTGCTTCCCTGTTCCTTCTTGGCCTTATGTGACATGTATGTTTATGTAATCAACCCAGGTCTATCCAGGGACCCCTTGACTTGCATAGCAGTACTGGTATGCTGTGCTCAGGGCTTTGTAAAGTCCTGTCTGAATTGCTAGGAGGTGGAATGCTGCACATTCCCCTGGTAATACTGACTCTGTAAAAACAGTGTTTCCAGTGGTTATGGTAAGTAATGAAGAGCTAAGAACACTTTCATTTCTTACATGAATTGGAATATTTCAGTCTTCCCACCTCAAATAAACACTGCTTACCTATTTCTGGGAGTGTGTCACCTTCCTTCCTCTCTTTGTGTTAAGAGGGCTTCCCCCAAATAATAGAACGAAAGCTTCAGGCTGGCTCTTCCTAGGGTCTTCCCCAAAGCACCACTGTTTGTACACCAAGGCTACCTCTGACTTGTGGAAATGGATGTTTCATCTTATACAGTGCTGAACTGGAGGTCAGGAGACATCCTTGCTCTAAGCGTCAAACGTAGACCTACATCTCTGCAGTGAGTCCTAATATCTGCAGTTAACTTTGTGATTAATCTGATATTAATATGCAGAATGTAAGAATTCTTCACCCTCTTACAAGCAAACGAAAATCAGTGCTTTAGAAAAGCAAGCACTGGTTTTCAGCCTCCACCCTCAGCTACCTGCTGCTATGGAGACAGTAGTCTAACTGAGCTACTGCATTCCAACACAGCTCGACAGCACTTGTGCAACAGTTGAATAACCCCATTTTCAGGGGCTGCGGATTGCAAACTGCTGGTGCTCAGGTAAAAAAATGAGCATTCCCTTATGAACTTCCTGAAAACACCTGCATAATCCCCAAAGGCCCAAATTCTGGCCCCCACTTAAATCTGTAGGAGATTGGCTAACGGCTTCGTTAGTGCCAGGATTTGGACCTCAGTGAATGAGGCGAGGCTGTTTCTCTGAAGCTAAAGGCACGTACCTACTAATCAAATGACACACTGAAATCTCTCCTTCCAGCACCAGGCTCCTCTACTCTTTGAGGTGCAAATTTAAAAGGCTAGGTCCTTAGGGCAAAACCACAAATGCTGCCATTTTCCTAGAGGTTCAGCTCTGTTCTCATTGTGGGACCCAGAATAAATACATCCTTCCTAACAGGCTGGCTGCTTAAGCTCAATTTATTTACTTAATGCACACTGCCCTGTCTTTCTGTGACCTTTAATTTTTATTATGTCTTTTGTAGATGGAGTGGGATGGAGTGGGAATACAGAGCAGGTATGCAACTGAGTAAAGTCTGGGGTTTTGGAGAGCTTTATAACAAGGGGGTTTAAAATCATCAACAGGACAGATACCAGTGAAAAGAAAAGCAATGTGCTTTGTCACTTGCTACACTGATAGGAACTGTGGGCTTGTCCATTACTGTCCCTCTTTTGATGTGAAGACAGGAAAGCTATGCTAGACAGTTCTTCAGGCTGGAGATATTTAAGGAAAGCCATAGCGTTTCCATCTTTTAACAGGTGAAGACAAGATGCTGAAAGCTGAGCAGACCCTAGATGAAGGGCTCCTGGAGAGACAAAGCTTTGTCTCCTGAACCTTATATAGGAAATTTCTCCTACAGCAACAACCCCTCACTTTCCTGAAGGGAGCAGCTCCTGTCGCAAGGTACAACAGGCTGCAGACAACCATTGCCCTAAATCCCCTGTCCTTCCATCCACCTTCCAGAGAAGCTTGGCTAACTCTCAGCATGGTCAGAAGCTTTTGTACTTTGTATTTTTTTTCCTTTCTGGTCCAAATAATTGTGATTGTCTGAATCGGATGGCTATGGAGCCAGCATCCATAACCAGCCAATATTATAGGGAACTCAGCTGTGTGTTGGGTCAGGATCTGGCTTCCAAACGGACTACACTTACGTGAGTAATTCTGGATGGCCAAAAACATCCAGACAAACACTTTTCGTCTTCAAGTATTCCTCCCTACTTGGAGCCTCTCCCAGGGAGAAAGAAAAGGTTAAATTATGCAAATCATGAATGGCAGGGTTGGTGCAATATTTAAAGGATAAATAACTTCCAAAGAAGATTAATACCTTATGGTCTTAAATAATTACTGTTCCATATACGATTGACTGCGGTGTCAGAGCCACCCAGTCCTTGGGGTTGAAGAGGCTGGAAAGTAAACAGAAGAATGAAGCTTTTGAAAATACACAGGCTAAAAAAAAATAAGAGGCAACGTAAGATGGAGGAACACAGCAGTTCTCCTGCTGGTAGATTAAAATGAGAGGGTATGGGCCCAGAGTAGGAGACAGCTGACGTGAGAGGAAGGGATGAGAATGGAAACTTTAACAGATGTAGGAAAGAGAAGAGTTTCTCCTTAGTGACTGTTGATAATATGCACTAGTCCACACTGAATCCTGGTTGGGGTAAAGTGCCAGATTTTGCAAGGAAAGCGGCTCTGCAATGGAAAAGGAGAGTGCGGCTTGAACCTTGTTTTTCTGTTACCCTCTGTTCAAAGTCCCCCTGCATCAGCAGAGACTGAGTAGATGCTGGCTGGCTGGCTGGCCTCTGTGGGGTTGGTTTTGGGAGACTGAGCTGCTGTGGGAGCTATAATAAGCCATCTGCACAAACATGCTCACTGGAGCACAGCTTGCATTCATCCGAGCTGCTAAATTTAGGTCTCTTCCAGCAAAAGAGCATGTGCAAAGAGGCACAGGGATGAGATACAACTCTCATATGAGCTGGAAAAAAGAACCTGAGAGGGTCGATTTACCCATTGTAATAACTGTACTTTTGGCATCAGAGGAGACCAAAGTCCCTGAGGAGAAACACAGTGAAGACAAGACATGTATTATTGCAAGGTTGATTTCCCTCTGTCAGCCTCATGATCTTGTCCAAGGCTGACCTTGGCAGTGTCACATCAGCGTAAAACTGAAGTCCCTTTGCCTGAAGTGCTTTGACTTGAGGGCAGTGCCATTTATTGGGGCAAAAAATAGTAATCCTTTATGAAAATAATCATTCTTATAGAAATCATGGCTGTTTGTGATGCAAAGTTCTTAGACAAGGGGGAATGATGCTGAAGACCTGGAGAGGTGCTGTGGGAGCAAAGGAGACACAATACAGGTAAGAAATCCCCACCGATAACACGGGGGGAGGAACAGATCTTCCTGCTCAAGGCTGTTGCTGCCCGTGTGCTCCACACCGTCGTCCCCCTCGCTCCCCCCTTGGGTATACCCTTTTACAGACAACATAAAGTGAGACATCAGAGGCTGGCTGTGCACTTAGGCTGCAGTCAGAGACCCCCTCTGTTCCCAGAGATTTTTACAGGCAGTGCTGGGGAGGGCGGAAACCATCTGAGCCTTCCAGTCCACCTTTACTTGCAAGGGCCTCCATGTAACCCCAAATGTGCATTTCCTAAAAGTGCATGAGGCTCCTTGGGGAATCTCTCCCTGCTCTGGATTACAACCAACTGTTTACGGAAGGGCAGAGGAGGAGAGACAGGCTGGATTGCCTTCCCATTAGGCGTGCAAGAAAAGCTGCTTTGTCCCACCCCGCTCCAGGGCGGGGACTTTGCCATCCAGAGCAAGCCAAGCAAAGCTCTTCCCATCCCTGCCAAGGCACCCGCTTGGGACAGCAGGTGAGCACCAAACTAACCGGGGGGTCCCCTTTGGCATGGGGAAGGGGTCGCGTGGCTAGAGGTGCCTGGGAAGGTGCCAAGCACCGTCCCTGCTTGCCAGACCGCAGCGGTAGGTAGTGCGGATGTGCGGGAGCGGGACAGCCCTTGGCTGGGCGGATACCCTGTGGACACCACGATGCCAAGGCATTAGGGCATTGGGGCAGCCCTGGAGGGCACAGGCCTGGGGTGAGGAAGGACGGGGAGGTGGGTTGTGGGAAGGAGGAAGATGGCTGACTCTTTCCAGGCACAGAGAGCGCAGGTTTTGCTTCCTAGTTCTGCCGTGCCCAAGCTGGCAAGTCCTTCCCACTGGATGCTGGAGTGCGGAGGGCATGGCAGTGGGCTTGTGAAGGAGCTTTGCACGGGTGGACAGGCTGAAGTGAGGAGTACAAGGCTCTGCTAACTCAGTATTATATTTTTATTTCTTTTGAGGGCAGTGGCCAGGCAAAGGTCATCGTGTGGGAGGTGCTGGGATATTTCAGCTGGCTCAGGGCTTGCCAGCAGAAGGGACATCCTGTCCTGAGCTGCAAATTGGGCTGGGATCAGCGTCAGTCACCCCGCTATGAGCCCCAGAACTACCCCAGGGCACTCTGCCTCCCTGAAGCACAGTCAGCCGCGGCGGGTGCAGGCTGTATCCAGCACACTGGAAACAGCTGGCGGTGGCAGAGCCATGGAAAAGCTGATCTGGCGCAGGGTGTGGGTTTGTATTCAAGTAAATGTGCACCAAATGAAAGAACTCGTCAAACAAGTCCAGTGTTCGCCTTGCAAGGGGATGGGTCGCGAAACGGTGGTTTTCTACTCCAGATCCTAGGTGTAGGACTGGCAACATGTCTATGAGCTCAGACTTGGGGTGGGGGGAAAAACCCCTGTGTTTATATCCTTTTAAGCTGTTGGGAGCTTTGCTTGCTGGGAGCTCTGTGCGTTCTGTGTACAGCCAGGAAAACTTGATTCAGAGCATGCCTAGATTTCAATTGGCCAGCACACACGAAAGTTTCAGCTGTTTTCTGATAAATGAAATTTATTCTGGATTCAGCTTTTAGAGGACATTGATGTGGACTTATAACTGCCTGATTAGCTGATAAAGTCTGCCAGGAAAAGGTCATCCATGGAAAAAAATTGAATAGTTTGAGAGATGCCTCGTACACTTTCACTCTGTCATCTGGCCGCAGTATTTTGAGCCTGTTCTAAGCCAGGTTTACTGTATCAGCTAGCTCAGGCCTTTACTCTGGGATGAAGCAAATAACATCAGTACAGGGATTAGCCAGGGTACCTTAGTACTTGCTAGCTGACTCTTTGCTTGCATAGTTTAATTCTTCAAAACACGGAGTTAAGTGTTGTTTCTATCCTGAAGCTGTTTTTCCCCGTTTGAGCTGCAGGCCAGGAATTGTGTTAAGCTGCAGAGCGCTGGCAAATCTGACTGCACAATTCCTTTCTCTCTCTAGTAGCAAAGGGGGTGGCTAGAAGAGTTTTATTCGTCTAATGCTCCAGCCTGAGCAGTTCATGGAGATGCCTTCATCTGTGAAAGGGAGAAAGAGGGTTACAGGGGCAGGGACCATTGCTGGAGAACCTGGCTGAACTGTGGAGAACTTCCACCTGTAACTTCAGTGGCTCATTTCTTGTGGCACCACACACAGAAATATACTGGGAACAAAACAGCATTTGCAGATTGCGCGGTGGGGTTAGCACCACTGCCTTTTTGCAGTGCTCTACTCTATATTCCCAGTGATGTTTAAGCTGGATGAAGAAGTCGGAATATTACAGTTAATATTCAATGTGACATTTCTGTTGTAATCTGATATTGCAGGAACATTTGCGCTGAATCCAGTACATGCATCCTTTCTTCATGTTTTGGTTTCTTTCTGCCAGCTCATCTGCACTCGGAATTTTTCAGCCTCCCACCCCCTTTTCCTTGTTTATTGGCCTTTCTTTTGCCCTCTTATCGACTTGCTAAACCAGCCTGTCTAATATTCCTGCTTCTGTGTACAAACCAACTGAAGGGTAAAACTGCATCAGAAAAACATGTGTGAAATTCAAAGCCATTATTTAGTGTCTGGCTAAAGCAAAAAAAGCTGGCTTTCTATTTCTGTAAAAGATTAGAGAAGTGCAAAGATGACTTTTCTGAGGTCTGGGTCATAATCTGACCACTGAAATCTATGATCAAATGAAAGAAAGCAAGTTCAACACTAATAATTTTCCATGTGTTGCCTGATTGCACAGGATGTAATAACATACAGACGACCTGGAGAGCACTTGGGAGTGCCTGTGCGTAACACATCTATGGCAAATGTCATACTGAGAGTTAACTTGCCTGAACAGCACCCTCCAATAGTATTCTGGATTTGTAAGAGTCATGTGAAGCATGAGCAAAGACACTACTGTTCTTGCACAGCCATCCGGGTTCATTGATAGCAGCTATTAAGCACCATGAGCAGGATTAAGGAGAGATGTCATCAGCCACTGGCATCACTGCTTCTACTTAGAGGCTTTAATGCAAGAACCTCAGCTCATGCTGTGTTGAACTTGAGTTGCAGGGAAGTGAACTTTGTCCTAGTACTTGACATTCTGTCAACTGACCAGGGATATGGGAAAATACTTTGGGTGTGTTCATGTGCAGGCCCTATGCAAGAAAATAAAATTATGAGCAGAAAAAATAACCCTGGGGAGATGGCAAGTAAGCTATGTATATTATTTTTTTTTTGAGGGCTTTAACAGTTGGTTAAAACTGAAGTCCTACAAGGAATTACACATTGCACCAAACTGAGGAGATGTTGAATACAGCAGATTTTAAGAGCGAAAATAATTCTCCTGTCCCAGTCCTCAAGTGAGGTTATCCTTTGCATGCTCATCTACGCCTTGATGTTGCCTCTGCCTCCCAGGGAGTATCTGTGAAGGCTGTTAGGACTGTGCAGGCACCCTCACCCTAATTCATCCTCAGGCTCTCACCTGGCAAGGTCAAAGCCACATGTTTTGAAGGGCATGGGAATCAAGTCTATTTTCTTTGCTCCCAGGGCAACATTGTCTGCTTCTCCTTGTCGCCTCAGCCAGGCTGTCACAATAGCAATAGAAAAGAAATTTCTCAAATTACTAGCGCTAATCATCTGCTTGTGCAACACATCCTTCTTTCAGACAGGGCAAACGCCCTGGCCCTACGCTGTTGCAAGCCAGCCTTTGTTCATTCTGTACAAAGCAGGACTGGAAACTCAGGGATACTGCGTTCAGAAGGGCTGTTCAAATGTTGCTTTTAGTCCTCAGAGAAATTAGATGGTTACTTAACCAGCCCCATTAACTGGCAAGGGTAGGTATAGCCTATTAATTATTTGCTAGAAAACTGACACTCCCTTTGTTTTTTATTACAGTTGTCTAACGGCCTGGGGACTTGAACAATAACAGATTGACCAAATACAAGAGCGATGGTAAGCGTGCGTGTTTGCTGTGCCAGCTGTTGCTCTGATAAGATAAAAGTGGGGAGAGTAGCTCAGATAAGGACACAGCAGGAAGAGCAATGTCACAATCTGTCCCTTTATGGGGGGTGAGTTTATCGCTTCTCTTTGCTTCCTCATACTAGAGGAGAATGACCCACACATACGGGCTTTTCCATTTTGGGAGTTAATGAAAAATCCAATCAGATAGTAGATCAAAGAGCATTAATTTCTCCAGATAAACTTCCTGGGCATATTATTCTTTCCAGGTTCAACCTGCACGGTATCCATCTATATGGTAGTTATCCCTGTGCCTGTTTCAGAAAGCCTAACCTACATGAATATTAAGCAGTGTTTTGCTGATGATTTTCATGGGAACATGGAAACCTTTGTAAAAGGCAGTGTAGACCTGCAGAAATGGCACTGGACAGGAGGCAGGAGAAACCTGTTTGTGAGTCACTGTTTTGAGTAGAACACTGCCCTTCCTGGTGCATTATTTTACAGAATGATGGTCCCTGGCGGCTCTTAGAGAAGACAGGAATAGGGCTTTGATGGGAACAACTTCTTCTATGATTTACATGGAAAACTGCTGGGAAGAAGCCCCAGCTGGACTGAACAGAGATGTCAGGCTGCTTGCCATTGTTTAACTGGAAGCCAGATACTCCATGGCCAGCTATATGAAGATATTTTCTCCTTTTAGTTGTGTCCCTGTGGCTTATTTCTTATGTGGCTGGGAAGTCCCTCTAGAATAAACTGTTTCTCTTTAGGGAAGGATGGAAGCCTGCTATAAAATCACTCATGTTTGGTGGGTGGACTTTACTTGCTGTCACTGTGTTTGCATCTTTTTAATTTTTAATTTTTTTTAAGTTCAGCTCTAATGTATGTATCACTTTGAGTCTGCCTTTCATAACTCCTCTCCTGTGGGTTTAGGCAACAATCAAGGGGGTCTCGAGTTTCAGTGCTGAGCAAGAAGCACAAGCACTAAGGAAGGCTATGAAGGGATTTGGTAAGTTGGTCTCCCTCCACTGTTAAACCCTCTTTTTTTTCCCCGAGCTTTGGGAATGTTTTGTCTGGTGGTTTGTTAGAGGGGAATTCTAGCCATTTGCATTGCCCCACTGCTGTACGAGGGCACCAAAAGGAATCGAGCAACTTGATCAGGCTGACACTTGAACCCAACTGGAAATCCAAGTCTTCACCACAAAAGCATCCTTATTCGGGCTCTTGTCTTGTCTCTCCTGCAGTGTGGTACTGCCATGCTGCTGGCTGGGTTGAGGCACTTCTGTAACTGATCTAGTCCCCAGTGCTGTTGAGAACCAGGTTGTGTAAGGAACAGAAGATGGCTAATGGCACACTCTGGACAAGACCAGAGCATGCATCTTGTTCTTGTGCAAGCAGCTTGACTGGTTTCCATTGGTTTCTTCCAGGCACAGATGAAGACGCCATCATTGAGATCTTGACCAAACTAAACATTTCCCAACGTCAGCAAGTTCTGATCACCTATAAAAGCAGTATTGGCAGGGTAGGTGGTCTTCAGAGATTAATGCCTCTGGCTTTAACTGGGAGATGCAGACATTTTTAGGGTTATATCACTTGGGTGAAATGTGAACAACATCCTAGTCTCCACAACAGTAAGGTTAGCACAAGCTTTTCCTGGCGAAGTTTATTTTGGTCAGAGCAACTGTTCATCCAAGGACGGCTGGCACATGAAGAAAAGTGCTGAATGAGTTCTTTCTATTCTTGAAGGCTGTATCTTCTCCCAACTCCTTTCTTCTCTCTCCGTCTTCTAGGATTTGATTGATGACTTGAAGTCTGAGCTGAGTGGGAATTTTGAAAGGGTTATCGTTGGTATGATGACTCCTACCACCATGTATGATGTGCATGAACTGAGGAGGGCTATGAAGGTTTGGAAATCTTCCTTTTATGTGGCTTAAGTTCTGGTCAATTTAGTAGAATATGGCATAATTATACATTTATTATTAATTTATTATTAACTTATATATAATTTTTTTAAAAAAATCCTAGTTGCATATCAAAACAGTTGTCATAATAATCTTGGATCTTGTCTTTGTAATTCCCTAGGGTGCAGGAACAGACGAAGGTTGCCTGATTGAAATTTTGGCTTCTCGCACAAACGAAGAGATTCGGCGCATTAATGAGAACTACAAACTTCGTATGTAGTGCAAACTGCAAGCCATTATCATACTGACTGAAGTCACTCGTGTGTATGCATGGACATGTGAAGAGGAAGAAGGGTCTGTTAGCCTTTAAATGTGACAAATCAGCCAATACAACTATTGCCATTTGTCCAGAGAGAACCTCTGAGTTAAACAGGTGTCAACAGCAGGCCTGCTAACAGCCTCAAGGATTAGAATTTCACCCAGAAATTGAATCTGTGGAAATAAAACGGGGTGGCATGGTTATGTCTATCAGTTGGATGTCTGTCCATGTGTGGATCTATTGCCAGTTTTATACTGGCTGTGCTTCTTAATCTTGCCCTGTAGCACTAAATGTGATGGCTGGACTGCCATGATGATAGCCAAGAAGGCCAATAGCATCCTGGCTTGTATCAGAAATTGTGTGGCCAGTGGGACTAGGGAAGCGATCATCCCCCTGTACTTGGCACTGGTGAGGCTGCACCTCGAGTCCTGTGTTCAGTTTTGGGCCCCTCACTACAAGAAAGACATGGAGGTCCTGGAGCGTGTCCAGAGAAGGGCAACCAAGCTGGTGAGGGGCCTGGAGCACAAGTCTTATAAGGAGCAGCTGAGGGAACTGGCGTTGTTTAGTCTGGAGAAAAGGTGGCTCATGGGAGACTTTATCACTCTCTGCAACTACCTGAAAGGAGGTTGTAGAGACGTGGGGGTCAGTCTCTTTTCCCAAGTAACAAGCGATAGGACAAGAGGAAATGGCCTCAAGCTGCACCAGGGGAGGTTTAGATTGGATATTTGGAAAAATTTCTTCACTGAAATGATTGTCAAGCACTGGAACAGGCTGCCCAGGGAAGTGGTAGAGTCACCATCCCTGGAGGTGTTTAAAAGATGTGTAGATGTGGCGCTTAGGGACATGGTTTAATGGCAGACTTGGCAGTGTTAGGTTAACGGTTGGACCGATGATTTTAAAGGTCCTTTCCAACCTAAATGAATGTATGATTCTATGATGTTTAGAGCCCTGAGCACAGTTATATATTTATCTAGCTTATGGCTGGCAAATGTTGTGGACAAACAGTGTCCAGGTGGTGGACCTGTTGTTAACAGATGTCATATGTGTGTGTGCTCTTGCTAGAATATGGCTGTACCCTCGAGGAGGACATTGTCTCTGACACATCTTCCATGTTTCGAAGAGTCCTTGTGTCCCTCTCGACGGTAAGTCCAGGCTAAGGGAAATGGGGGTGAATCTTCTGTTGCTGATGGACATGCCTCTCACTTTAGTGATGAGGTGTTTCAGGCTGGCTTTTATTTCACTTATCTTGCATTTCACCTTGCCTGCATTTCACACCCAGCTTCTGCAGGGAGAGGAGTCTGACTGTGGGTATGCATTAACGCCATGTGCTCTTTCTAAAATGGCCCAGTTAAAGTGGATTGCTGCTCATTTCAAAAGGAAGTACAAATCACATCTGAGCTATATTTTGCTGTATTTTTAAGCTACTATTCAACTTTAAGGCGAACTTGCAGGAACTTGCAGGACTTGCTTCCATCAGTTGCTCTGGTGAAATGAGTTTTTCATCCTTGTATCTCTGCAGGGAAACAGAGATGAGGGAACGTATGTGGATGATGCCCTTGCTCAGCAAGATGCTCAGGTGTGTAGCAATTTGCTTCCTTGCAACAACTGTCTGTTCTTGTACATGTGATGCATGGTGACTCCCTGCTTTTTCTAGACCTCATTTTTTTCAAGGTAGAACAGTAAGCCTGAACCTACACTAGGCAGCAGTGCCCTAGGTGGACACCTGGGCTCTATTCTCAGTTTTGACCTTGAGGGGAGCCTCTTCACTGTTGTGACTCAGCCGGTGAAATGGGGATAATGGTTCTAGACTCCTTTGCAACTCTGGTGAGAGGTCTCTAGACAGGCTGGGTATCTGGGAGGGGAGACGACACTTCAGTTGAGAGTTGCTGTGCTTGGTTAGTATTTGTTGGAAAATACCTGTGATCTAGAAAAGCCACAGGCCAGCAGTGCTCAAGCACCAAGGAAGTAAAAATGTCATGTTATGTACACCTGGTCTTCTCAATTTTCTATTCATAATGTCTTCAAGTGCCTGTATGAAGCCGGGGAGAAGAAATGGGGAACAGATGAGGTACAATTTATGGCCATCCTCTGTACACGGAACAGATGCCACCTACTAAGAGGTAGGACCCTCTGCGGTGTCCTGGATTTTTTAACTTGTTTGAGCATGACACTTTTGTAGGAGCTTTGTACTTGTTCATTAACTGATTGTGAACTCTTCCTGAGACAGCAGGTATCCTAGAGCCCAGTCACATTCAATTCTTTAAGACCATTTTATTCCCTCCTGAGACAAAAAGGGACTTGAGAAAAACATCAGTACAACTTGCTCCAGCCTGTAAATTGGAGATAATGAAGTGTGACTCCCATGAGGGCAGAGCTAAGCATTTAAACTGCCGTCATTAACTGGCAGTTCTTGAAAATGCTAGCAGCAGTGGTAGGCCAATTAGCAAGACAGTTGATAATTAAAATGAATTATTTCTGTGGGACAGCCCTGATTTAGCTTACAATGTCACAATAATGGTACAATGTTCATATGGAGTGTGAGGAGCTTGATCTTGCAAAGTGATCCTTGGTGGTTTACACACTGTATGCCCTGAAGCATCTCACTGGCTCTTTTTATCACTGACTCTTCCTCCTAGTTTTTGATGCATACAGAGGGATTGCTAATAAGGACATAACAGACAGCATTAAATCTGAGATGTCAGGAGACCTCGAAGATGCTTTGTTAGCTGTGGGTGAGTTCCCTGCTCTTAAACTTTGTCTACAAAGTAATTAAATAATTAGAGATACTGTATCTTGCCCTGGCTGGCTGCTTACATAGCTTCAGGAGGCAGATACTGTTTGTCTTTTTTGCAAGCCACAGTGTTTTACTCTTTGCAGACACAATCGGGTGAGAAAGTTCTGTGCTTTATGATATTGTTTGCTTTCCCAAGTGATGCTTTGGTAGCTGACATTTGCTGTCAGGAAGCATTAAAGCCTTAAAGAAAATATTACTGTGCACTAGGCATGGAGACATCAATTTACAGCAGGTCACTGACTGAATTGTACTTGCTGTTTGTTGGCCCTGAAATCGCATCTTTACAGAATAAACACCTTCACTGAGAAAGTGCTGTAAAGGTTTGGAAGACCTTCTCCTTCAGTTTTTATTGGCCTTAATTCTCCTGTTCTTGTTTCCCTTACAGTAAAGTGCGTGCGAAATAAACCTGCATATTTTGCTGAAAGATTGTATAAATCCATGAAGGTAAAGAGCTTTTGGTATGAGACTGCTATTTTTGTTGGTTTTTCTTTTTCCCTTGCCTTTCCGTGCTCAAGTCAGTAGCATGACAGCAATCATTAGATAAAGAGAAACTCTGCCATTAACTGGGAAAAAAAAAAAGTCTGAGCTTTTCTATGGACCTCTTTTCCCTCAGGAAGCTCAGAGTGATATGCTTACTTGGCAGCAAGCTGCTAGTTGATCACTCTATTAACACAAAAATGCTCTAATTAGGAACAGATTCCGCAGAAGACCAAGTGATAAAACCTTTGTGTCTGTCAGTGAGTTGTCCAAAATGATTTGTAGTTGTAGATGGTTGGTTTATTTCTTTAGGGACTGGGAACAGATGACAACACGCTGATCCGAGTGATGGTGTCCCGCTCTGAAATAGATATGCTGGATATCAGAAGGGAATTCTTGACCATGTATGGGAAATCACTCTACTCCTTCATTAAGGTAAGCTTTTTAGTGTTAGAAACAAAGAGCTGGATTTCCTAAGCAGCTTAAAGGAGACAGGTCGCCACTTGACTGACATCTATTGGGTATTTTAGAGGAGGTGGAATTAAGGAGACTTTACACTTATGTACTGAAAATGTTCATTAATGTTCTTAGTTCTTAAATTGTCAAAGAAGGTGCAAACCCTACAACAAATTGTATGTGCTGGAAAGAATCCAGCCTTGTGTGGAGCTGTAAACCTAATTGCATTCCTTTTTTCTTTTCTCTCTAGGGAGACTGCTCAGGAGACTATAGGAAAGTTCTGCTCAGACTCTGTGGTGGGGAGGATTAAAGGATGTCTGGTGTACTGCCTGGGTGATGGGAAGCAGTTGATCATAAGGATTTCTTTCTTTTTAATTTTTCCCAAATATCTTATTAATTGCTAAGAGCATTGACTTAGGTTAGTTAATGCTCTGGTTAGATAATGGCCATTCCGATTAACCCTTTTGATATGCTTTTATGCTTGGAACACCCATTTGTCTAGTAACTGGGCTAGTAAAGCCCATCTTAAACAGAGTGCTGTAACCAAATACATAAAAGCTAAATTGTTTCCTGACAAGCTGTCCCTTTGCTGTTGCATTCACCAGCAAAACTTACCAGCTGAAGCAAACTTAGATGCAGAATGTGAGAGGCTGCACAGGGAGAAATTAATACATGGAGAATGCAGAATGCAGGCTTGCTTCAGTTTTTGCAAGATAAGTAAACCAAAAAGAAATCAATCCTCTAAAATACAAGCACATTTAGATCTTAACTTCCCCTCTGTTAGTGTGGAGCATTTTGCCTTGCTGCAGTTTATGTATATGTTGCCTATAGATCTGTAGGTAGGGAAGATGTCACTGGTGACATCAGAAAAAAACTCTTCCTGCCCTGGTTGCAGGGCAGCTCCATATTCTTGGTCTGTCTTCCTTGACTTGTGGGATTATAAATCATCAGGGTTATACTACAAACCCTTCCTCTGGATAAAGTGATGTCATTAGAACGGTGCCTTTTAAGGAATGACCTGTCCCCAAAAACGCATCTCATCAGCACTACCTGATGCCTTAAACTGGGCTGCCTTGTACTGGGGTAGCTCACCAAATCTCACCAGCACTGGCTGGTTGGAGCCCTGTGTAACACTACCATTAGCAGGTCCAGTTTTTGTGCCTCAGCCTGACTTGGACTTCCACACCCACTGGAAGAGACTTTTCCCCCAGACCTTACACAAACTGCCTGTTAAGCTGAGCGTTGTTTTCACTACATAAATGTGGTTCTTGTTTGGTGTAGCAATTTGGGTTTTTTTTAGGTGTTGGTATGTAATTCTGTTTTGAAGGCATCAGACTGAGGTTAGAATTTGAAGGCACAAATACCGATATGGCCTACACCCAATTCTGTCACTCATTTTCTTCTAAATTAGGCTACTGTTGGCTTGAATAGGAGATACTTCTGTGGCCTCAAATAAAATAATTTTCATTCTTGCTCTCTGTGCTGTAATTAGAGACACATTCCTTCGTTTTGGTGGGAGAGGAGGCAGAGCTTTTTCCACTTCTACTGAAGCCTTCTGCTCAGTGAAAGAAAAATTGTCTTACCCAGTACAACAGGCGAACAGATGCACTCAGGCTTGGTTTTGTGTATAAATGCCTCATGTTATGTTGCTGACTTTTTAAAAATTAATAAACAATTCCTTTCCATACCTTCTCCCATGGTTGTGTATTCTGGGAGAGGTAATGGTGAAATAACCGTGTCCTTGTTTTTCCAACAACTTCTGTGCTCCACAGGTGCTTTTTCTCCCAAGCGTAGACCTCCACACGCCAGTTGAGTGGGGAGAGTCTGCAGGGAGATGTCTTTGGGCGCTTCAGCCTCAGAGCGCGGTGCCCAGGGCGGGTGGAACGTCGCGACGGGGGGAGAGGAGATGGCTCCAGCTCCTTACGAAGGGGCGAATCCATTGCCCCCATCTCCGTGGGCCCAATCCCACGGGCATGCTGTGAACCCCACTCCAGCAGTGCTTTGAGAAATGGTTTATAAAATCCCATACCCATGCTGTGTCTGGGGGAAATCACCGGGGAGGGGGTTGTGTGGGGGGCAGATTTGGGGGTGCAGGCCTGCACCACCACCCCCCCCCCAAACGCTGCAGTTACATTGCTGCTGCTGGTCCCACTTGCAGCTCAGTAACCCGAACAGTTCCTCTCGGTCATCCACCGCCAAGCAAGAGCCGTGATGACGCTGAGGCAGAGCATTAGCTCGCGTTATTGCTTTTATTTCCTACGGCACTCGAGGAAACCGCGGGGACGCCCGCCGCCTCCACCCCAACGCCCACCCGGAGCCCGCCCCGCCCCGCCCCAGGTGGCGCATGCGCAGAGCGTAGCCGCTGCCGCGCATGCGCCCTCACCGCCCCCCCTTCCGCGCAGGCGCAGAGGCGCGGCGGCAATGGCCGCCACCGGCGGTTGCTGAGGCGCCGCCGTCGCCGTCCCCGCTCCGCTCCGCTCCGGGCGGCCTCATGAGGAGGAGGAGGAGGAGAAGGAGGCGGAGGCGACGGCGGAGTGGCGATGGGCTCGCTGAGCAGCCGGGTGTTGAGGCGGCGGGTGGGCCTCCCGCGCGGAGATGGAGCGGCCGGAGACGGCGGTGGCCGGGGCGGCAAGAGGAAGCGCGGTGGGGCCGAGGGGCCCGGTGACAGCGACAGCGACGGCGAGGCCGAGCGGGAGGAGCGGCTCCTCAACACCCCCCGCAGGTCCGGGCGGCACGGCGGCTGAGGGGGCCAGCTGAGGGGGCTGCGGGCCTCAGTCGCGGCCGTGGGTCTGTCAGGGGGCGGGTGGCGGGAAGGGGCTGCAGGGCCGGCGGCCGTCGCGGTGGGCCTGGGGTGGCGAGGCAAGAAGAAGGGGCTGCGAGGGGCTGAGGGGCCTGGCGAGGTCGGGAGCGGGTGGCGGGTTATGGGGGCAGGGGTTGGGACGTTCGAGGGCCGAGCCCGGTCTGCGGCGGCTTGTGGTGCAGGAAGGAGGTGGGGGGCAGATGGGGGGGGAAAGGTTTTTGGTGTGGGGTTGGTTGGTCGTGGGCCTGGGGCAGGGGTTAGTTTCTCGTTTGCTTTGGAAAGGTCCCAGCAGCAGCCGCAGTAAACAAGAGAGGGGAAGTCGTTCGAGGACGTGGGGGGCAACGGCGGCAGGGGGGTGGGCAGCCCGTTGTGGGGAGAGAAAAAACCCTGTCGAGTACTTTATACGTAGTGTTGCTTCTGTAACAGGAAAAATTTGAGGGACCGTATCTCTGTTTGCCTTTTTCTGTAGGAAAAAATTGAAAAGCACTTCTAAGTATATTTATCAAACTCTGTTTTTGAATGGGGAGAACAGTGACATCAAAATTTGTGCTCTGGGAGAGGAGTGGAACTTGCATAAGATATATTTGTGTCAGGTAAGTGGCTGCTTTCTTACTCATGATAGAAACTGTATTTTTAATAAAAGAATATCTGGTAAATGTTAAGTGTGACTTCTTTTTTCTTTTCTTTTTTTTTTTTTCTCCTTATATTTCAGACTCATTACTTTTTTAGTGGACACAAACAGTTAAAAAACTTGTGTTGTGCTTTCAACAGTAATGTTAGGAAACGTAGCTGTAGCTTCCTGTTTGAAAAGTTTCTTCTTCAGTTCCATCTCTTGCTATTTAATTTTTTTAATCTACTCATCTTAACCTTGGTGCATCCTTTGTGAAAACAGTGCTAAAAATTGTCTTTTGATGTCCTGAGAACGTGTTCTTGTTTGCTAAACAAATGGCTGAGAGTCTTCTGCGATGTTAGTATTATTGCGGGGCAAAGAAAGCACTTCCAGAATGGATTTGTAAAGCACATCCTAATTCAGTTCAATTTTACTGTTCATTGGGACTCAGCTACAGGAACCTGAAGTGAAATTGCTGGAGCTGGGTCTCTGTACTTGTTATGCAGCCTTCATCCTTGGATGAAGGCTTTCTTGCTGCTGCACGAGGAAGGTATGCACAGAAGCTCAAAAAAGGACTAAACCTTAGTGCGTACCTACAAAAAAAGGTGCTGTTTCTACCAGCATTTTGTTTTGGGCTTGTATTAAGGTGAAATTCTTTGTGTTACTTTTTGTGTTTTTGGAGTGAAGAGGTACTGTTATCTTTACTGTCTGTTCTCTTTATTACTTTTCCTGTGACAGAAGTGGGGAGAAACCATGGCTTTGTCTTGAAATGTCTAATTCAGTTGTGCCGTTAACTTTAAAGTGGGAGTCTAACCTTGGAAGCAATTTATTTGAAGCGAGAAGAGAAAGTAACTGTCAGGTACTATACCTGAAAATGTGTGCACTTCTTTGTTAGCTGTAGTCAAACACAAAGCAGTTTTATGTGTTACAAAATGAAGATGTCACTGTGAGATGTTCAGCAGGTTGCATGCAGTTTCTCTGGTGTAACAAGTGATGGTAGAAGCAAATTCTTGATTTTTTTGTTGTTGTGTTAATGCCGTGATTCGGTGCAGGTACAGCAATTACTTGCATTCGCCACAGCAAGGGAAATTTCATTGCTTCCTTGTAGGAAAAAGCCTTTTATTTTACATGCGTCAAAGCGTTTTAAAGAGCATAAAATGAGGGCAGGAAAGTAATTTTTGTATAGGCCAAGATTGACCAGTGGCAGCCATCTCTGGATAGAAGAGTGGATGTGTTTGACCAAGGAGGGCAGCTGGCAGACACAGCTTTAATTGTCCACTCACTTTGGACTCTATATAACAAAGGGAGGATATAAGCGGGTTGGACAGTCAGACTTACGTTGTGCAGCATAAACAGGGTAGGCACATTGCCAGTTCATCCTCAGACTGTTGTTGGCCATGGTGTTTTTAATCATTGTTGTGATTCTGTTGTTGCTATGTCTCAAGTTCGTGAAGCTACTACTTAAAACTTAGTGCGGGTTGATGACTAAAATTGAATATTAAATCGCTTCTGTGGATGCTTTTTAACAGACTTTGAAAATTGCGATTTTCTTCTGTAGAGGCCTTGTCCAACTGATGTTCCTGCGAGATGAAATTTTGTGGTTAAGTTAACTGTTCTTGTAAGTCAGGTTTCTATTTCAGTTCATGCTCTGTCGTTGGAATTATGTTACTATAGGTAAAATATTTTTGGAGGTTAAAAATAACTCTCCTTGTAAATTACTCTTAATGAAGTGACGACTCCTCCTCTGCCTTGTTGAGCAGACTACCTCAGTCTGAATGTTTCTGTTTCTCTAGTCTCTCAAGTTACTGCATTTAGTTTGTTAAATGACAGTAAGGTGCTGCTCTGCCAGTGAACGGCAGATCTGAGAAATGGAGGATTTCTTTTTTCTGATGCTGTTTACTAAAATTATAATTCCTCATGAAATTGAGGAGTTGGTCTACGTGGAAAAGCTAAGGTAGCTTCATGGGGATTGGTAAGATAAGGTCCTGGTTTTGAGAGTAGTGTGTTGTATGTCATCATAGTTAGAGGATATGCTGAAGGTATAGAAATATTTACATGATCAAATAAAATCAAAATTGGATTTTATGTTGTTTGCTGCCCTGAGTTGAAATGCTGAGTTAAGAGGTCAGGGAATATGGTGCTGTACAAATAGACTTTATTTTTTTGATCTCTCAGGTAAACTTCAGTGAGTGATAGCATCTCATAATGGGCACATCTCCTGCTGAGAAGGAAAATCATGAATCCTAGTAGAGCAGTATATTTCACTTCATTTGGATGGAAACCTATCAAATTCTAGTTTTATATGCCTTACACTTTATAATAAAAGGTATATTTACATAAATGGTGTATGTGTATGTGTCCTTGGTATGAGACTACAACTTTGTACATTAATTTGTATGTCTTGCATGCTTTTTTTTCTTTTCTCCAATACCCAAACTGGCATTTCCTAATGCCTGCAGGATATGTTGTCCGTCGGTAACATTAAGGACTTAGTTCTTGGACTAATTATATCCCCATTGGTGGTGTGGTTTGTAGGAAAAGAGCTTATGTGGCTTTGCTGGCCTTTTAAAGCTCTTTACTTTGATTACAGACATGTAGTCCAAATTTTCTATAGGCATTTTCACTTTCAGAAATAGAACAAATACAATTAGCTCTTTCTCAAGTATATCAGAATGTTTTAGCTTGTGAAAAGTTCCCTTAATACATTTTGTTCTGCATAAAGGTAAATATTATTGCGTTTTTGTTCCATGTGCTGCTTTTGACAGTTTTAATTTGAATGAAATCTTTTACTTGAGTTCTTTTTCTCTCCTCTTCTGTCATATAGTCAGGCTACTTTTCCAGTATGTTCAGTGGATCTTGGAAAGAATCTAGCATGAACGTCATAGAGTTGGAGATTCCCGACCAAAATATTGATATAGAAGGTAAGTAGGAACCTTTTATTTTAACGTAAACTCTGAAGGTGGAGGTTAAGTTCAACCTGACAAAAAAAAGATGAAAATATGTTTGTTTGGGGTTTTTTTTAAGAATAATTTTCAAACTAGTAAATAAGAAACTTGAGAGAATGAGTTCTGTGCTCATTGATTTTTAAGCTTAACTCAGGTCACCAGTAGAGTTGAATTAATTTTTGTACCTTTGAGTTGGGAAGCACAGCTGAAAAGCAACCACTTGTCCTGTTGTTTTGGTATCGGGGCTCTTGAGATCAATGTGTGCAACGCTTGTGGAGACCCAAGTGTTAGAGTGTGAATCACATCTTCATCTGTCTGGTCTTGCAAAGCTACCAAGTGAGTGCTTGCAGGGGACCGATGTGAGTCAACGGAATGTTTCGCTATGGTTCCAAGCACCACGGAGTGAGAAAGTAGTGTTTTTCAGAAGAGTTGCAGAGAAACTTGTAACATCGTAGTAATACCTCAACATTATGCTAGTGATCAATTGCAGCGAAGGATCATGAGGTTTAACTTCCTTTTATCTAGTTTTACTGCTCTCCACATTGCTCCATGGCGTGACTTGGTGGCTGTTTTAAGATGAATATTTTGTTTAAATGGTGAAAAGGACTGTATTTTATTGGTTAATGCCATGCTTTGTGTTTTCTGGTTTTGTGTGCGCTTGGGCAGGTAAATACTAGCTTTCTATCCAGGGCAAAATAAGATTGTAGAGAATGCGTGCACTGAAGTGGTTTGGTTATATTTAAGGATTCTTTTAGTTATCCATGCTCAATGCCCTATCTTTGTTTGACACTTGTATTCTTTTCAGCTCTGCAGGTGGCTTTTGGCTCGCTGTATAGAGATGATGTGTTAATAAAACCCAGTCGAGTAGTTGCACTTCTAGCAGCAGCCTGCATGCTGCAGCTTGTAAGTAATAAATATGCAATATTTTATGCTTTCTTTTCAGATAAAGATAACAGTTCAGATACTCACACACGTGTACTGTTTCACCCAGGGAAATGAATCATCTTTTCAGACTAAGTGGGGAAAAAACCCAAACGTAATGCAGTGGTTTTATTTAAAAATGCTATGACTAAGATTCCGTTGTAATATTAGGTGCCGCTTTGAGAATCATATCTACAAGTAGATTAAAGTATGTTTTAACAGCTCATTTGTTCTACCCTGAAGGTATTCATTAAGCTTTTCTTTCATGTGATATATTCTTAAGAAAAGAATCTATTTTTCTGAGGAAAGTTGGTTTAAAAATTCTGGGTAGTGTAGCATAGGTCACTGTAGCGCTTGTGACTTTGGTAATTGTTCAGGCATGAGAATTTGTATGAACTGCACAATCTTTGACACTTCCTGTTGGGAAATTAAAACTTTGAATATTTGTGGGTTTTTTCCCTCCCCACAGGATGGCTTAATCCAGCAATGTGGTGAAACAATGAAGGAAACCATTAATGCAAAAACTGTGTGTGGTTATTATAATTCAGCGGGGACATACGGGTTAGACTCTGTGAAGAAAAAGTAAGAATTACTTTCTCTAAGCTGCTTTGTACATTGCTAATTAAACATGTGAATTTACAGACAGTAAAATAATGCCCAAGTTAATTTTTTATTTTTTAAATCTATCTGACTTGGACTCTGCTTGTCCTACTTAGTTTTTGAGTTTCTACTGTGATCAATTACCTTAAAATTGATGTAGATTATGGTAGATTGATTGGCCTGTGCTGTGAATGAATGAATTAGTGAAGTATATTAGTAAAGACAGTATGTTTGGTCTTCAGTGGGACAATGAAATAATACTTGTGATCATTGACTGTTTTATCACAAAACTGCTTTAATATTCAGAAATTAAGCTTAACCTTATCTTAATTAGGAGGGATAATTACACATTTGGGAGCAGAATGCTGAGGTTAGTGCTAACTGCTTCCTTCTGCTGTGAATTTGTGTGTTCTCAGAAGTTTTTGTGGCATTAATAGTACTTTGAATTTAGCTTTCACTGTAGCCTGAGAGAAACTAAGTGCAACTTTAAGAGTTTTTAGAAAATTTTTTAGAAGATTTTATGGTAAACATCATGTTTTTGAAATAACTCTTTTTCATATTTTTATGCATTCATGTGTTGGGTTAAAGCAGTATTTCAAAATCACATGGTACATAATCAGGCTTTGTCACCCTGAGCAACTGTTGCTGGAATGTTGACATATATAAGAAAAAAATGAAGGTACTAATTCCTTGCTTTTAATCTAGGTGCCTTGAATGGCTCTTGAATAACCTGATGACTCACCAGAGTGTTGAACTCTTCAAAGAACTCAGGTATTCAGGCTTCAGTTAACTTTCAGTGTTGAAGTACAATTTCTTCCAAAATATATAGCTTACTACAAATTACTTTCTAGGCTATTGATGGTTGCTTGTTAACCTAGCTTGTTTTCTTGATTCTGTGTATATTGTCTCGGAACTCGTATGACTTTTTTTTTTTTTTTTTTTTTTTTTTTTTTTTAAGCATAAACCTCATGAAACAGCTTATTAGCTCTTCTAACCTGTTTGTAATGCAAGTGGAAATGGACGTGTATACTGCTCTCAAAAAGGTACTTGGCAAAGGGGCTGGCTGGGGCTTCACGAAGTTGAACTCCTGTGTACTAGTTGATTTGTAACGTGATGAGAATTTTAGCCTTTTTGGTATTTACTGAAAGTATTTAATAGAGTATCAGAATCTTTGTAGGAATTAATGCATTGTGAAAAGATTCCTTTAATAATGCATCTATGACTTGTTTGAAAACTTCTTCAATTACTCACTAGAGTTTGTTTATTTTACCTAGTGGATGTTCCTTCAGCTAGTGCCTTCTTGGAATGGGTCTTTGAAACAACTCTTAACCGAAGCTGATGCCTGGTTTGCCAAGCGTAGGAAAGGTAAGACTAACTGGCATGGCCTTGGATTGGGGAAGATGCATGTTAGAGGTAAAATATGATAGTCTTCCTCCACTTCTGAACTTCCTCCCATTTTCACTGGGAAAGCTTGCCTCTGCCAGCAGTCCCTGGCATCAGATTCTCAACAGTGATAGCTTTTTCACTGTTTTGTCCACATGTTTTCAAGTGAGCAGACATGGTCACTATTTTTGCTTTGTTGCTTTTGCTATTGTTCAGTTAGGGTAAGCTTTTGTGGCCTTCTCACTAGAAGGCACTAGTGTATTTCAAAAGAGGAAAAGGTTGGTCTAACATTTCTGCTGAAAAGTTTTGAATGTAAGTAATTTCTTAATTTTAGCTGCAAATCGTGATTTGCCTGTCCATAATACCTTTCTCTGATCAGTAAGTTAAAACTCAATTTCAAATATCAATAGGGTCTGGAAAATATTTAGGAAAATAAATTGTAATACAGGTGCTCTGTCTTGCAGATTTTGAGGATGACATTGCGTTCCTGGAATCAGAACAGGGGAATGCATTCCTGTCGGTATTCACGCACTTGAGATTACAGTATATCATCAGTGACTTGGCATCAGCCAGAATTATTGAGAGAGATTCCCTAATACCCTCAGGTGAGTGAGTACTCCTCTGATCAAGTTCTGTGTGTCTTTCCTAGCCTGTCCTACCCTAGACTAATTGGGAGGATCTAGGTGCATTTACTGGTCTTACCACTCACATGTTTATCTCCAACATCTGAATTGTGGCTGAAGATTCAGCAGAAGTTGAATATTAAATTTACATGTGTAAAAGTCTTAAAAGGCACTACATGTAGGTGTGCTAAGCATTTTGTTGATCAGTCAGTTTATCAAAATACTCTATAATCAATACATAGTACAATATCAGTGTTTAAATGACCCCAGAGCCCCAGACATGCAAAAAAACTTTTAAGAGAGCAAAACTTGCTGGGACTCAAGTGTCTTCTAGCCATTATCTTTCTAAAAAGAGCTGGATAGATTTTCATAGAATTTGGAATAATACCTGAAAATGAAAAGTGATAGTACAAGATGCTGTGAACTCTTCTCCAATCTTCAAAGACAAGTGTCACTTGCTAATGTATACTTAGGATGTTTTTGGAGGAGATAGGATATTTAAGTATTGCTCTCTTGTCCTTTTATTTGCATTTTTGCTTGTATAAAATACATCCTCATTCTAGGTCCTGGTGCTTTTTGAAGCCCATAGAGTGAAATGCCATTTAATGTTACTATAGATTACTGCGATTAACATTACATCATCACTGAAAAATGAAAAGCCCCATTCTCATCTTGCTGCTCATGTCCGAATTCACAGATAGGCTTTGTTCTTTGCTTGGAAAAGTGTAAACCTGGATAGATGAGTAAGACTGGAAATGAGTTATCAAGTTGGGCTCTCACTTGAAAATTTTTTTCCACTATCATTTGTATCTTTTATCTCGTGGAACACCTGCCCCTCCTTCTTTTTCCTTTTATTTTTTTTTTTTTTTTTTCCCCCCCCCCCCCCCCCAGTTAGTTGTGCTCCTTATAACAGTGTTTGGACTTCTCATGCTCTGCCTTTGAATTTGGCTTCTGGTATTCTTGCTCCACATTTCACTCTATTCAGGGTTCCCTTATCATAGTTGAATCTTAGCATTGAATTTTGCATCTTAACTCTGACAGGTGGTTTTTTTTCCTAGCTCATGTACACAGCTTTGATATTATTTTTTTATACCTGTCCACATGATAACTATCCATTCATCTGTGTGTCTGTGATGTCTATTTATAGGTATAATTGCCAAATGTCAATTAAGACTGCTTTTATTGAGCTGCTTATCGCTCTTATTTGTAACTTCTTAGCATCTGTGTTCTTGTCATCTGCCCATACTTGTAGCCTTGGGGCTTGCTTTGGACTCTTGCCATATGTAAATATTTCACCTGTCTTTGAGTTACACTGATGTCTTCCTGCAAAATTAAAATTTTTTTTTCATCTCATATTGGCTTTTTCCTTCGTGCTGCCATAGATGTCAACACAATGATGATATAACGCCAAAACAGACTTGTTGGGTTATTTCTTTTGAAGCCTGCTAGCCTGATCAAATTGTTAGATGTTTTTAAAAACACTTTCCTTGCCATTAAGGTGATGTAGTGAGCGTCGTTTTACTCAGTTTGCCTTTTTTGTACTGCTGTATCCTGTCTCTGCCTGAAATAATGGCTTAGTTGCTCTTTGTAGCTGAATGTCTGAATAACCTTGAGCACCTCTTTCTCATGCTTTGAAACATTCAAAAAATGTGGCTATCAAAAGCTGAATTATGGCTCCCTATGATAGGGGGTACCTGTGGGGAAGAGGGTAGGGTCCTTTCCTTGCTTGAAATCTGTCAATCTCTTGCGTGAAAGTGGACAATTACTATTGCTTAAAAGTACTGGCTTTCCCTACTCCTAATTCTGGTTTAAGTTAATACCTTAACAGATGGAGAAGACACTGTCTTCTGCACTAGTTCTGACAAAGTAAAATTCGAAGGAACTCGGGTTATCCTGTGCTCAAAACGTCTATTTAAAAGTGTTCTCTGAACAGCAGGTGGAGGCAGTGCATTCCAGAGAGCTGCGTCCAGCCGAGGTGCAGTTTGGGTGAATGGTCTGATCGGTTACCTCCAGCAGATGGGGCAGTTTTTGACCTCACGCAAGTGATAACATTTTATATTACACGTAAAAATCTCAGAAGAACAGATCTGATCTTTGATATGTGATAGTTTATATGCTTAAATGATGTATAAAGTAGATATAATCCATCTTACTTAAGACTGATATTGGTACAGATTTTAATCAAAGTGCAAAGACATCTTCATTCTGTAATAAAAAATAAGGCAACTTTGGGTGAATGATCCTTTAGATCTTTAATGAAGGAGACAGGAGAACTGTGAATTATTTCCTTGTGAAGTGGCTTTGTCAGCATGTAAGATGTTGCAAACCAGAAATTTGCCAGTAGTACACTTGATTTCCTTCTCTTAATGTTGCTGTTGTTATCACTTGCCAGAATTGTGATGGGCAGCCTTTTCTTAGTGTTCTTCAGTGGATAAATTTTGTGTCTATACTCAAACCCAGAAACCTATCTATGTACGTCAGAGGAAGAATGTTTCTTAAATTGTTACAAGATTAATTGCAACTTTGAGGCTGATTTGCTTGTGCTTAGCAAAAAAGAATGTAATTTTCGCATAGTTCACAAGGTATTAGACAGGAAAATGCTTACTCTTGTAGTTAAACAGTTCATAAGCTGTGATAAATGCAGAAATAGGCTTGGTCGCTTTGTAGTTGTGTGGTGGGAAAGGTAGTGTGATGACAATGAGCGTGTGGTTAGGTTAGTGCAGGAAGAATATCTGGTGTTTACACTGTACCACTGATTAATTAAAAAAAAAAAAAAAGCTTGAATCCCAAGAGAACTGGGAGAGCGGGGAGGGAAGAAGAGCGTAATGTGGAGACCTCTGTGTGTAATGAAGTGCTGTTAGAGCTTAATACTTGATAGCCGTTGTAATCCATTGATATCAGTTCATAGCCAAAAGCTATGTTGAGATCAGGAGCTCTTGCTTGTCGTTTAAAAGGAGACTTAGCTTGGTGGTGCACTTTCAAACAGGTTATTGGCTGCCAGCATCCAGTATTTGAGGTGATTGCATGGCACCTGAGAGAATCTACAAATGTGGAAATTGCTGGGTAGTTTGTATTGTAGCATAAGCCTTTTAGATTATTCTAGATGAAATTGTTCTCAAGGAGGTAAAGACGGAAATCGTGTTGAATAGTTGAAAGAAATGGTGTAATTTTTTTTTTTTTTAAATACCCTGTATGTGCATAGCACCTGCAGGAGAAAACTGAAATACTGTATTAGGAGTTCACAACAGAGTCTGTTCTTGTTTGCATAGAAAAAATGCAAGAGACAGAAATACGTAATGTGTCTGTCTGTAAGTGAAGTGTTCATTGTTGTTTTACTTGGTAACTTCTGAACATTTCCTAATCAGCGTTTTCCCTCTTAATGTTTACAAATGAACAGATTAACTACAGGTGAAATACAACATCTGAAATAGATACATACATACACAAAAATAGAGAAGGTGCTCTGTCTCTTTTTTTTTTTTCCCTTCTAGCACATCCATTCTCTGTTCTTTACCTGTGTAGTTTTCCGTGATTCATTTTTATACTCTCTGTTGTAGTTTGGTTAATTCCCATTTTGATCTGAATCTTAACTCTAGAGTAATTAGGGCAAGGGCTAGTTTTAATTTTTGCATCTGGGACTTCTAAGGCAATCTCAGCACTATGATCTCACTTTTTCTCTCTTCTATCATCTTCATCAACTACCTGTTTTGTTTTTGTGGTAACAGTGGTTCTCAGCGTTCAATCATCCCAGTCCATTCCTCCATAGAGTTTGTTCTTGTACGTGACCTTGCATACTTGTCCCGTTTATCTTGACTAAGAAGAATTTACATACTCTGCTTTTGGGTGCCTGTGATCCCGTTTGTGTAACCGACTTGCAAGCTAGTAGTTTTTGTTCTGTTTTATATCTTGGTTGCAACTGTCAAATTAATACAGCCGATAAAATCTTTATGGTGCTCTTGGAGGAAGACATGATTTATCTTTATTCCTGGTAGGGGACAATTTCTGTTTGTTTTTACCATATCCATGACAAGTCACTGTTTCTTTTATCCTTTGATTCTGTTTTCTTCTTGTTTAACTTCTGTAGAATTCTGTTGGGGATTCAGAAAACAGCATCTTCTCCCGAGAGCTTGTTAACAAGCTCCTTGGCTTAACAAAAGTTTGCATGCCGAGAAAATGTGTTGAGTTGCATCACTTCTGGCAATTGTGAATGCTTGATAAGATGAATATAGTCCCGAGTTACTTAGTGTTAGTTGTTGATTTTTATCTGTACCGCTTCTTCTGTAGATGAGGCCTAGAGATGAGTAACACAAGTGCGTTATCAGGTGGTGGGTTTGCATAGGCCATCCAGTTAATAAGTGTAACCTTATTATTTCAATGTAATTTTATTTCTATATTTCAAATGTTTATGAACATCCCCTTTCCCAGCTCCAAAGACAACACCAAGCTTATTTATTTTTTTTTAATTTTAGAATGGCTGTCCTCTGTTTACAAACAGCAGTGGTTTGCCATGCTCAGAGCAGAACAAGACAATGATATTGGGTAGGTATATTACAGGCTTTCTTTTATTACTTAAATTAGAAACCTTCCTTTCATATAAATTCTGACATGATTAACTTTCGGAGTTTACATTAAGAAGAGTGGGGGGGAGCATACTTCAGTGGTTTTAAACTCTGTTGTTCTCTGTGGAGCCGTCTGTTCCCTTGGGCTGGCCAATCTCCTATCCTTTAAACAGTAGAACTCTAGCAAACTTGTATAATGCAACCAGAGGTAAACGCTGGGGAGGGATGTTTTGTATTTTCTTTTATGTTGGTTAATGCTTCTCACTGGTACTTTGCCTTGAAATATGTGTTGAGGCTGTGAAAGTAACTTCTTAGCCTTGCATTTTAGGGATGACTTTAGGAAAAGTACTGCAGATGGAGAAGAAGCCTTTTCTTCTGTCCTGCTTCCTTCCTCTGTGGCCTCGGTGGGCAAGAGGTTGCAGTGCGATGTAACTAACTGAATTGGTGTAGAAGACAATTTGTCATTTTTTTGTTTATGCAGGGATAACTCCACACTAACCTTTGTTCCCGCCTCTCCCATCCTAGCTTCCCAGACAGTGAGTGAGGGCCCAGCACCCAGCAGGGCTTGGCATCCTGTTTGCCTCATTCCTTTCTAATTTCACAGCCTTTCCCCCCCTCAGTGTTTATGTTTGATAGCTCTCTGTACTGCAAGCACCTCCAGCTTTTCCCAGGCAGTGCATCCTTCTCCACTGCTAAGACCCTGTTCTCTCCGTAATACTCCTATTTTATATCCTATCTTTTCTCCTTCCTAGACCCTGTGCTGTACTGTGGTGGCATTGCATTGCCATTGAGGAAGTTCCATGACAACTGCTGTGTTTCTGTGCCCTTTCCAAGATCTGCATGTAGCTGTACTTTGTGTAACACCCTGACTGGTGTCTGTGTGTGTAATGGGTAGTTGGGTTTCTTGAGCCTGTGCCTAACAAGGGTTGTCAGTGGTGGTGGCTTGGGCAGTGAGGCATGTTGATTTAATGTATGTCACATATAGGTGTGTGATCACAAACTGTTTCCCTTCCTTCTGCTTGCTTTTTGCCATGTTGCATTGAGCCAGGTCCCTTAATCTCCAAAATGCAACTGGGGGAATAGTTCCTGCCTCTGTCTTCTCTCCTGGTTCTTGGTGTGCTTTGTGGAGAGCAAATGTCAGGTCTGGAAGCTGCAAAATGTTTGTTACCCTTCAAAAACCAATAAACCAAATTATTTATTTTCTTCCATCAGTTCCATTAGCACAGCGTTTGCCGTTCTGAATGTGAGCAAGTTCAATTGCAGTGGTAGGCTTCATTTATTAATTGCAGTCTGAAAAGCATAAGAACCACTGTCCTGATTTGAACCAAAGGCCATGCAGTCTGTGACAGCGTTCAGCAGTAGAGAGGTACAAATCTACCATCTTCCTTTAAAGTGAAGAGTGAGTGTTGTCTTGATGTACTTCTCTGGCAGTGAGTCGTTGAAGATTTTCCAGATGGAGGTTTTGGCTGGATTGTTACTGAACAACCAACCACCAATAGACCTGTTCTTAAATAGGTACAGTTCTGTTTTGAAACAGCTTATGCTTTAGTCCCCAATACCCTGTGGCAGTGGCTTCCATGGCTTAATTGCGTATTATATAGGAAATATTCCCTTAATTACTTCCTTTTGATGTTAACATGTAATAGTGTAAAAAAATCCCCAAAACTCTGACTTCGGTCTTAAGAATAGTCAAGATTTTTAAGAAGTGGTTCTCTTTGTCAGTAGCAGCGCTTCAGAAAACAGTAAAGTACGCAATTGTTAATCTTATCATTTCAGCTCCTAAAGATTAATGTCAGGTGGTCATTGCTTGTTTCTGATACTATTGTTTTCTTGGGAAGACTTTTCTTGTAATGCTGGCATTTATGTATCTAACAGTAGACGATTGTACATTGAGTGTTACCTTCTAGCTTGTATGGGAACCACAGTTAATATGAAAGTGAGTATTAACATAGTCATCAAAATTCTGACACAAGATAAGACTGGGTATTTGCTTATTTTTGATGTCTTTTGGTAGTTCACTGTAATACACTGAGAGTATTTTAATTGTCAGCCATCAGATGTACATGCTTCTGAAAAAGTAAGCTCATACAAAACTGAAGTGGTGATGATGGGGATCATAGCAGCTTTAAAATGAGCAACTTTCATGTTCAACTACAGTGCTGATGATTTCAGTGACTCTTGGAAGGAGCAGAGTATTTTTCCACGTTTTTCTTGCTTGACTAGTTTTCTCTTTTGCAGTATGGGATTTTTTTTCTTTTTTTTTTTTCTTTTTTTAAAAATGGCTAAAACTGAATATCTCGGGCAGAGAAAGTTTTGCTTAACAGTAGACATCTGTTTGCCCGAATGTCTTATTCTGGCATTTGTTGCCAAGGTCTTTCATTAATAGCTGTGGTAAGAAGTGGGTGAAATGTAGTGTTTCTTCTCAATATGTCTTAGCTTCTGACTTTGGTAGTTTACAAACTTGATGGTTCAAGGTGGCATCCAGGTTACTGTTTGTTTAATAGTCAATACTGGACTAATTGTTTTTGAACGTGGTGTTCTCTGGAGTTGTGTGGGAGGGAGATGGGGAGGGTTGCACGCACATGCGTGCGTGAAGAGCTTCCCTGTAGTTATTTGCAACTCAGTTGTAATGTTGCTAGTCTATAGCATGCAATCTCTGAGAAGATAAACGTTATTTGAAGTCCTGAGATCACTTCTCTGTCTCCTACTGGCAAGCTGTAGTGCCACCCTGCAGCGAGATGCCTGTGGTTCGTAACTTGTGTCTTAGAAGGGAAGACATGCAACTGTTCCTTCGTATTAAAGCAAATATTTTGGACATTCAGCCAACCTGGAGCTGAAAGAAAAGAATTAAGGTTTTATTAGACCATCCTTTTATCCAGCTCTGCTGCCTTTCCTCTCACACTTTTTGGCTGTATCAATATCTTAACACGTTTTTTTTTCCCTTAGAGATAAAGATGCAAACTTAGTAAGCTGAACAAAATGTGAAGTCTGACTCCCAGTGAGCTGAAGTAAGGCTCTATTTTCATATCCCACCTGGTGCATAGCATAATTGCACCTGCTTATTTTAAGACTGCCAACATGGAAATGATATTGCTTTGAAATGTGTGATGTGGTTTGCTCTTTTGATAACTTTAGAGAAGGAAATATTTTTCTTGTACTTCATGTAGTTTGCATTTAAAAGGACTAAACATTTTATTCACTCTTCAGAATTTGAGAATTTTTTAGTGTAATACTGGAGTTTGTGACTTTGAACTGTAGCTGCTCGAGGTTTACTTGAGCTAAAGTGGATCTCTTTTTTTTTTTTCTTTTTTTTGTTTTTCATTTTAATTAAACATTTGTTCTGTGGCAGATGCAAGACAGACCTTTTGAGTCCATGACTGGAATAATTTTTACTCTAATTGTCTCTTTGGCAGTGTTCAAGAACGGAATAGAATAACTTGACTGTTCACTAAGCATATGGTAGGCCAGTGTAAGTGGTTAAAGCTGGAAGTTTTGCATCTTCTGAGGCTGCTCAAGGAGTTGAGAGGCGGGGAATACTACTGTCTGTCTGAACATTATGTACTAATGTTTGTGAAATTTGTCACTAATTAAACAGAAATAAATCTTTTATCACCATTACTGAATTTAGGTCAGCTACATAACCAGTTCAGCTAGAAGATGTGGAAAAAGCACACAGGAGGTTCTTGGATGAATTTGGTTAGCATGATTAGCTTATTTGCTTAACTTACTCATAAAATACTTAATCTTCCAGGATTGGTTTTTACAGAAACAGGGGGCGAAAAGACCACAGAATGAGTTTGTTCGTAAAAGCTATAGCCGCAAGTTCTTGTGGTGTGTGTACAGTAGGAAGAGAACAGATGCTGCGTTTCTTCTTGCTTATATAGCTTGAAGTATATTGTTTGATAGTGCAGGTTTATAATTTAACTTGGGGGGGGGGGGGGGGGGTGGCCTTTTTTTGTGTTTTTTAATACTCACTTTAAGCGTTTGTCCTCAGTGTAACTTGAAGACTTTCTGGCAATGGTTGCTTATTTGATTAATGATGTAATCATGTGTAAAGTTAAGTGAGTAACATACTTCTGGAAAACTGGGACTGATTTTACTTATGCTGTCTCTGCAAGATTTTTTCTACATGTTGAAGCGCCAGTGGAAATTACTGGGTGAAACAAGTTCATGTTGGTATAGGATTACAGAATTAAGAGGCTTGTGGCACTTCATGATCACTGTGGGTAAACTTTTTTTAGACAGGTTGCATAACCAGCCACTTGAGAAATCTTTTCACAATGTCTCTGTGGGTGCTTCTTCATAGCACTGCTATTCTGCAGAGTCCTGCAGCTGTTCCTTAACAGTAGCACTCATTTATGTTTGTGCCTTGTAAGTCGGACTACTGCATTTAAAAAGGACTTAAGTTTTTTTAGGAGGATTGGAGAATGTATTTCATTGCAACAGCTATTATTTTCTTATCTGGAAAAGTTCTTCTGTAAAAGTCCTACCTAAATGAGGTGTCACAACCTGGTTTATGTTGCAGTTTTGTAGAGTAGTTGGATGTTCATGGGACAGTTTGGGTTGGAAGGGATCCTGGGAGGTCATCTAGTCTTAACTTCTGCTCAAAGAAGGGTCACTTGTGTGGTCAGACCAGTTTACTCAGGTCTGTTCATCTTTCCCATGTTAAAGTACAACACAAAGCTGTTTAAGTGTCCTTAAAGATGCAGTTTTTTTGTAGGCCTCAAGAAATAAATAAAGAGGAACTGGAAGGTAACAGCATGAGGTGTGGTCGAAAACTTGCAAAGGATGGTGATGTAAGTACGGCATGTGGCTAAGTCTGTGCATAGCTGACATGTCTTAGACATGTTAGGTATTTTCAAAACATGTAGGTCTTAATTGTCAAACTGCATCAAAAAGATGTAATGGAGATGGTATGTTAAATTATTTTGTTCTCCCTAGAAGGATGAAAACGCTTGCCGTCTTTGTGATGAATAAGGGATTAGTGTTTTAATTGTGTTCTTACACTGCAGGCAAGCCCATGTTTGGAAGAACTTTAGTGTGTGAAAGGAGGGAACGTAGCCATGACTTATCATTTGAGACTTGTAAAATACATGCAGTTAAAATATAGCTCTGATTTAATGATGTCTTTTTAATTGGAAAAGGAAGCTTTCTAGATAAAATGTGTAATCGTCACAGCCAGAACCCCTGTGTGTTCCATATACATATGTATATATGTCTTTAGGTAACAAGTCTTGTGAAAAAACAGGAAACATGAATTTTTTTCCCACTGAAGTCTCTTAACCTAAGGACGTTGTACTTCAAGGAGTGCTTTAAGCATGAATGGGATCCTGTAGTTAAGTGTTACTCAGAAATACAGCACCAGTTACCAGAATGCAGAAGTATTTTAGAACCACTTGTGTTAAATGTATTTTTTTATGTTTGGAAGGCAGCTGATACTAAGCTTGTCTCGTGTAGTCATCTGTCTGCAAGGGTTGGCTGCTGAAGTGAGTGGTTGCCTACCAAGATGTCTTATGTTTCAAATAGGTGTTGGCAAGGATCCTTGAATCCACCATACATCTCTGTAGCTGAGAATCCCATTCCCAAGTTTGATTTGTTGGAGAGGTGGCACTTATCGTTGGTGTTGTGTAGCCAATACTCAGACTGGTTTGTTTGGTTTTTTTTTACTTACGTTCTTCAGTACTGCTGGCGGTGGACTGGATTCAACTTTGGCTTTGACCTTCTTGTTACATATACAAATCGTTACATCATTTTCAAACGGAATACGCTGAATCAGCCATGCAGCGGATCAGTCAGTCTGCAGCCTCGGAGAAACATAGCCTTCAGGTAAACAGTAACCAAAAAGGCAGACCCTGTGGTTTATGCTAAAATGTCTTACCATAACTAAGTCTTTCCATGTATGCTTGCATTAAATTTTGTTGCCACCAAGTTAGTTACATTTGAAAATGTTATTCTGTCTCCTTGGGAGAAACTCTTTGTGCTGGAAAAACTTAAGTTATGGGAGACTTAAGTAATTTAACTGTTGTTATATCCCTAGGTTACGTCTAGCCTCTTTTGATAGCAGTGGGAAAATTATTTGCAGTAGAACGACAGGATATCAGATCCTAACCCTTGAGAAGGACCAGGTATGTTTGTGGATTTTTGAGCTGTTGAACTTGAATTGTGAAGTCCAAGGCATGAAAAAAATGCTGAGAAGTCAAAAATGCTTTTGAAGAGGAGTTGTTCTTCTTGTTGTCATTGCTTATGTGGAATTTCAAGCGTTCCTTTTATAGGCAGTGGAAGATCAAGCTAATTTGTGGAGTGTAACTAGAGTAGGGTAGTGTGGATTTCATTAGTGTTGATAATAGTGAAATTAGTTCCCATGGTGCTGCTGAAGCTATTTGCTCTTAGTGTAGTGTTCTGCTGGACGACTGCTTGCTTTCCCAGACTTCCAGTGCTGGGGAGATTACCCATCTGAATAATATGTCCATCAGACTCCTGCTTATTTAGAGGCAAATTTGGACTTTGTTTGAAGACATTTATATTGTAAGCTGAAAAGTTAAAAGAATGCATGTTGTTCAAGGATGGTATTCATTACTCTATTAAAAAAAATAAATAAAAGCTTCAGAGAGGAGTGGAGGTTTCTTAAGAGAATGTGCCCATTTCTGCCCATCTGTGACAGCAGAATGTAGTAAGGAATACGAAAGTCTTGATCATCAACTTTCTCAAATCCTAATCAGCAGTGATACATAGATGGTGAGTACATAGAAAACTTTTCCTTCTAAATGCCATCCTTACTGTAGCATGAAGTTTCACTTTTGCTACCCAAAAACCAGTTCCTAGAGTAAAACTGAAAAATTCCTACCAACAAACTGTAATTTGCTTTGAAATATAGACTATTATAGATGGCCTGGTTGGTTAAATCTCCTGAAACTGGTAGTGGCAGAAAAGTCTCCCTTTCTCTCCAGTGTGCTTGAAGGTGATGTTTGCTCAGCCATTTCTTATGGTTCTGTTATCTTTGATGCAGAAGGGTTGGCAGCACTGCATCAAAGGGTTGTAAGCGTTTTGAGAATATCTCATCAGTGTTAATATTATAAAACGTCTGCTTAAGGTGAATTACTATCTTGGGGTTTTTTTATCTTCTGCTTTTTAATACCTAGTAATTAAAATTTATAGAATGACAGTTAGTATCAATCTTGTGTGCTTTTTGATGTACTTCCCTCTAATGGCATCACTTACTATGCAAATGTCCACTGTGTTTGCTTCACAGGAGCAGGTAGTAATGAATTTGGACAGTCGACTCCTGATCTTCCCACTCTATATCTGCTGTAACTTCTTGTACACATCGCCAGAGAAGAAGGCTGACAGTGAGGCACTGCTAGATAATTTGGAAACCTGAGACCTCTTCAGTGGAATATAGTAGCACTTCTATAACTCTGTATGCCTGCTTTAAGTTAAATGCCCTGCTGACGCACAGAGCTTTGACAACAAAAAAGGCCTTACACTGTAGCAAATATATATGGCCTTAGTATACTCCTATGCATATCTGAAGAGAAGATCAGAAATTATATAGGCCAAAACTAGTTATCCCATATTTTTGTTTTATTTCTGTTCTGCACCTTCAGACAGTAGCCATTCCATATTTGAGAAATGTTACATTTTTATTTTTCTGGGCGAAAACTGAGCCAAATTGGAAATAGGGAATTTTCATGAATGACATCTTATGAACTTATCTGTCAGATTCTGAGCACACATGGTAGGACGTGTGTTTTTTGTTAGTGTGGTTTTGGTTTTTTTTTTTTTTAATAACTGATCTGTGAATACCAGATCTGCATTCTGCTTACTTTTGTGGTCTTTTTCCATTAGGGCCAAATACATCTATGTAAATGTTGCCTGTCAACTTTCGTTAGTTATTGAACTGTACAGACTTTCAAACCTGCTTGTTTTTAAGCCTTTATTGCATCTCATATACGTACATTTCTTTCTTGTTCTTGGGCTTTTTTTAAAACATTGCAGCAAATATTTATCTTTTTTAGCACGTGAATTTGCTAATAAGGATGCTTGTCAGTTGTTTATTTTTTTCCATGTACTGAAAATACTCATTAATGTACTCACCATCATTTTGAGTCTATTATACAGCAGCAGCTTTCAGCTAGGATTCTACTGAATGCTTACTATACTCACATGAACCAAATACCAGTTTTTAAACATTGTTTTTTGTGACTTGTTTTAACTGTTACATTGGGAATATATCCCATTTTAGCTCAGGAACTTGTGACCTTTGAGTGCCTTTTGAGTTGTATGTGTTTAACGCAAACTTCACATCAGTTAAGCAAGGTCACAGGATCCGAAGTAAGAGCTGGGAACAATGGATTCCTTTTCAGTTGGTTTGACGAATGGTCAAGTGTAAGAGACACTCTGTTCGTTCTTTGTATGTGTTGGGTTTTATGTTTGTCTATTGCAATTTTCAATTCTTACAGCAGGATTTTTTGATTCAAAGTGGGAATTTTGCCTCTTTAGCCTATTTTTTTAATGTTGTCAGAAGAGTATTAAAACCATTTGTACTTTAAAACAAGGATAAAAATGTGTTAGGCAAGATGGAAAAACATGGCAACTTGTCAATAAATGATTTCAAGTGGAATACTCACCGGTTCTATCCTTTTCTGCCATGAATAGCTTTTTCTGTTGGCTTCAGCCTGTGGATTCACCTCTGTATAACCTTGTATTGTGTCACACTTCTTTGGAAGAAGGCAGAAGCATTTTAAGGCGTTCATCTGCTACAGCATTGAACTTGGTATTTAGATACTTAAGTAAGCAGTTTTTCTTTTTTTAACTAGAAGTACCAAGTCTTTAAAATGTGTCATTGATTCAGTGGAAAGAAATATGGGCTGCTTGTTAATGGCAGAAGAGAACAGGTACATAAACCCCATTTTTTTATGTAATGCCAGGGTTGAAATCTTAAGCTTTGTTGGTGGGTTGAGCTGCCACAGGGCTCCTGCTTTGTGCTGAGGGCTTAGCACCTCCCATTCAGGTCCGGATCCTGCTCTGCCCTTGCACCCCGCTGGCTCCCAGGGCCACCCGCTGCCCCTGCTCACCCTGGCAAAGCCATTGCTGCCTGCAAATGCAGCCCTGGCCTGCGCACCCCCATGCACGTCTGCCCTTGCTGCTGGGGAACCGCCACCCTGCAGCGTGGTGAGGATGTGGGCTATGGAGTAAGAGCTTACGTGAGCCTTATCTTGATATTTTTCTTCCAGGCATGAACAACTCGCTCCTTCCCTTGCTCTCTGAGTGGTCTGGTGCTACCTGTGCCCTCCCTTGCCCTCCTGGTTGTGGAGGGACTGTCAGTACAAAGAAACAAATCCCTTCCCAGCTTCGGTCCTTCTTCCCAGTGGACAGGATGAGGGATTTGGGATAGGGTGGTGGGGCAGGTGTCCTTCCTAAGGGGTTGCGAAGGAGTCAGAGGAGCACAGAAACCCAAACACATCACAACTTACCCCAGAAAATGGGTGGCTGGTTTTTTTTGTTTGGTTGGTTTTTTTTCTCTCTTTTATTTGTCACTGACTAGGAGCAGCAATCGTGGCAAAGGGGAGCTGAGAAGTACAACACCACACTCAGGAAAACGGTATGAAAAGTACAAAAATAAGGAAGCCTATATATAATATAATTGCAGTCAATTACTAAAAATAAATATTGTTATCACAAAATAACAACATCAGGTGAATCTACAGTCACTCATTTCTGCTAGCAGCTGAACAGTCTTTGGCTTTATTTAACTCCCCCTGCCCCACACGGAGCCAACACCCACATTAAGATGCATTTTCTTTGCTTCAGGCCAGAAAGACTCCAGACTTATCAGGGATGTCACAAGGCAAATAATTTGACTCTTTCTCATTCCAAATTACCTTGTGACCAGGAATTGCCTCTTTGGCCTTCAATGACCACTTTTCTACCAGAGCAAGCAAAATGATCTGTCAAAAGATGGTATTTTCCTCTCTTTATCTGCTGGAGGGGAGGAGATTATGGTGAGGTGGGGGACCAAGGCTCCCCCCATTCCAGTTTATTTTGCTGCTGTCCTGTGCCTCGCCACGCATTGCATGGGGATTTGTGGGTTTTGTCACTGTTTTACACCTGTCCCCACTCCCCTCCCACGCACTGGACCTTTTCACCCTCTTATCTCTGTCAGATAGCCTGGCCACATTTGAATTGCCTGATAAGAAACTGCAGCACAGAAGCACCAAGTTATCTCAGGTCAAACTACCTCTGAGCTGCTTCCAGGCCAGAGATCTGTGCGTCTCGGGTATTCCTCAGACTGGGTGACTGAATATGATGCTACTCCCTACACAACCTTTGCCTCCAAGAAAGAAAGAGGCAAATTCCTGTTGCAAGGCTTAGTAATTTGCTGCTTATGTATAGATATATTTAAAAAAAAAAAAAAGCAGTAACAATAAAATCCTGTCCGAAGTACCAATGAGGAGAGAATTGCCAGGGAGGAAAGGTCAGTGTCTCCAGTGTAGCAGACCTGTTCTCATGCTGCCAGCATGGTCAGAGAACACGCCAGCACAACAGCGGGAGTGCAAAGAAAATGCATCCTAATGGGAACAACCAAGCAAAACAAAAGCCATCCTAAATCCACAAAGCAGCGTTTCTTACTGGAGGAAAGAGACAGACTGGGCAAGTCAAGTTGATCAGTCTGTCCATCTCTCCCTACATATAATAGATTTGATCTTCCCTTCATATCAATAGTTACGATTCAATCTTCCCTTCTTCATTTTAAACACATTCACATAACATCCCACGGCAACATTTTGGTGTGAGGTTACAGTCCCACTGAAGTTACAATCAGACTGTACAGCAAACATCTCTGGTGCTCATCCCCTTTGAGACAAAAAGGAGCACAAACTTCTCAAAGTGTTTAATAAAAACCTTTCTTACAGCCAAGGGTATATCTGCAATCACAGGTTAACACAGGTGTTTTGTAACACTTCAAGTATCGCTTTTTAACTGGGAACATTTCAGACACTGCTTTATTCTGAGTCAAAGCAAAGGGGAAGCAAAAGCTTTCAAGCTTTACAGGAGCCTCGTGGATATCCAGGTGGGTATCCATCTGACCAAGCCCAGCCAAAAATCCTCCCTGACCTCACAGAAAGTTTAGATCCATACCCTTGAGCTTCAGCACGTGGCTCCCTTGCTTTGTCAGCCCCATGGTGCTGCTGCTACCACTACCCCCCAGACCAGATACTGCAGGACAGACCAAAAGCAGCTGTAGCTCCAGGTAACTTGTACTGCCTTTACTTCCTCTGTTCCAGGAGAAAAGAAAGTGCTCAGCAATTCACCACCACCACCCTGTGAGCTCGGGGCTAATCCTTCCTGCCACTGTAAATCACAGCCTGTCCTTTGCTGCAAAGAAAGGCAAGGCGAGCAAGGTTACCCTGCTCTGCCTGTCCTTGCTAAGCAGGTACTTAACTACCCACGTTTTCTTCTCACCCTTTTAGTCACCCGCTCCACAATTTGCTGAACTGGAGCCTGAATCAGCTACAAAACCAGGGCTGCCCCATAGTCCCAATCTTTCCTACTCTCCCACCAAAACTACAGTTGTATACAACTTAGCTCACTAACCGATGAAAACACTACCTATTTCAAAAGGGGTACAGCTGGATAAAAGTTAAAAAACACAGCCACTAATGCAACTTTCTGCACGGTGCAGCAGGTAAAAACATTTCTGTTTCAATTTTTCAGTAGGCAAAATGCTGGTCTTCTCAGGAAAGAATCACACACAACTGCTTGGTACCATATTAGAGGATTTCTGTATCATCTTTCAAAAATTTATTCAACATCATCTAAAACTTCCACTAAACTTGGTTTCTTACATCATTTCTATACACAGTCAGATTTTATTTGTTATAATTGTCTTGAGGCTTACAAAAAAATAAGCATTTAAAATGCCCAAAGAGTAATTTTGCTTTAAAATTGTGCTACTGAACTTGACCCCCAACATAGAAGAGATACTTTTGGTAACGAGGTTATCCCAAGCAGTATAAAAATATACATAAAAATAGACAAAAACTCTATCCTCCAAACTGAAGGTCTGTTTGTGGGAATTACTATTATTTTTTGTACATCACTGGAATTTCATTATCTTCTGCTAAATATTTACAGAAACATACCCACCCCCATCCGTATGCCTCTGCCCACTCAGGCAGAGAACTGCAGCATTTAGTTCATCCGCAGGCTTTTCTGTTGGGAAAAATTAATCGTTGCTTTTCACCATGGCACACAAAGTGATGCTACGGGCACGTTCGTCCCCGGGAACGTTCGCCGACAGCCCTGAGGATGCCAAATGGAAATGAGGTGACACCAATTATTGCCGCTAACTTCATTGAGCGAGTTGAGATCGCCTTTGCCAGTGCCTCGCCGCGAGCCCACGCGCACCGTCAGCACTTGAGCCGAGTGTTTGTTGGACCAGGACAGTGGCGTGAGGGATACGGGCTCAGACAGGGGTCCCTGCAGGGCCCTGGGTTATTTCACCACGCGCTGCAATAGGAAGTGATGTGACCTTCCAGAGCAAAGCAGGCTGGGGAGGGCAGGGGGACAAAATAAAACCTCTCCTTGGGTTAAAACCAGCCTAATCCTCAAAGCTTCACTGCAGGGCCCCACTGCTCCTGTGCATCACATCCCTGGCTTTCTGATTTCCCTTTTGTTCTGGTGATAAATTCAGAATGCCCAAACCTCTTGTACAACTGTCCTCAGGAATTTGGGTCTCTTTCTCCAGTCTACCCCAAGAAAATTTTAAATTAAAAAAATAACACAAGAAAAAAAGAAAATAAGTACTCTGTAGCATTCTTAAATGACATTAAAAGGTGAAGTCAATTCTAAGCAATATAACCCCCCCAGACTATGTACATAAAAAGACTTAAGATCTCTTGAAACATAAATATACAGTGTATAAATCCAGGTGTCACCTAAAAGGCTGAAGACGCAGAACTATTTCACAGACAAAAAGCAAACCAAACTCACCGCGCCAAGTGTAGACACACGGACGACATTTGAGTGTGTGTGTATTTGCAGGGAAGACACCGACCCATCTTGGCAGTGGTTCCTTGTATCCGCACATGGACCAGGGAAGGGCGCTAGTGGTTTCCAGGGAACGTAACACAACCGTACATGCCACATTCCTACACTCTATTTAGGGTGCGGGTGAGAGGTCGGGAAATGGGATTAGACCCTGAGTCCCCAATTATTTCCAGGCACGTGCTCTGCTGGAGCAGTTAAAGGAGCACCTCTAACTTGGATCCAGCAGGTTCTTTAATATTGCTCACCAACAGAGATACTTGGTATCTCTCAGTGCAGACCCAGAACACACCGGCTGAAATTCTGCACCCTGTGCTTTAAGAGTTACCATGACTTTCATGGAAATAATACAGCCTTGATCAGGGTAAAAGACTAATGGAGGTCTTTAGCCCAATCTTAAAGAGGTTTGCTTTCTACAGCACGGACACACTACGACTCTGACATACATAAATAGGTACTAGTTACTGTAAAGTGACAATGCAGTGTCTTAATTATTCTAGCATTATCCTTTCTGCTGTTAGGGAAGATATGAGAGTGGTTAGGAGATGTGGGGAGGAGAGCTGGTGTTTGACGGAGGCTGCAAGTGGAACAGGTCCAGCTCTAACTGGAAATATAGGTAGACAGCCAAAAGACACTTTTAGCTTTACTTGATACGCAGTTTTATGGCATGCAATAAAACTCCTAAGAAAACACTTGATACAAAGCACACAGCATCTCCAGTCCCACTGGTGGTATCTCAAGAGAACAAGTAAAGCTAAGAGTCTGCTTGCGAGGGGAGGCCACGTGTGTGTGTGTGTGTGTGTGTGTGTGTACGGAGGGAGGGAAGGAGGGACCGGGCAGGGAAACGTCCTGTTTTGCTGAAACCAAGCTCTTCGGCAAACCTCCTTCCTTCTATCGCTGGCCAGCCTCCCGGATCCGGCAGGCCACCGCCGTGATGAGCGCTGCGCCCTTGCCGCTGCCGTCTTCCGACTGGAGGAAGGTCACTTCACACTTTGGAGACAACTGCTTCACTGTTTCGTGCATGACGGTGGAGAAGCTGGGGGAGGCAAGGAAGAGATGCTGATTTAACTTGCCTCGGGCTGAAGGTGCCAGCCCCACAAGGAACAAACCACTTCACACCTATCATCATAGCTGCCTTCAACAGAGTCTCAAACAGTGCTACAGACACAGAGGAGAAGGATGGAGAGAGAGCTGCTAGGTAGGAGGCACTGGAAAGCATAAGTCTCCATGCTTCAGCCCAAGTCCACAGTTAACACAACATAATGCTGCTCTCCCTCCACTTAGGACTAAATCTGACCCCTTCTCTAGTCCCACCAAGCCCCGAGAGCGCTAATAAACCTTAGTAGCCCTGACCAGCCGCACCTGGGGGGATCTTCAGAGCCCTCCCTCTACCCATGGGCCCTGAGCCCTATTTAAGCTCAGCCCTGTGCCTTTAGTCCTTTTCTGAGCAATGTTGTCCTAGGAGTACTGGCCTTCAGCTCAGGCATTGCCCTAGTTTTGCTTGGCTGTGGGCCTTCTTCATCCAGATGATAGACTGACTTATTGGTTTACACCTGCTTCATCCCTGTGATTTTGCCTGATGATCTGGACTCCTAGTTGAACCTGGTCACCATCTTTGGGTCAGCCTGACCTTAGGTACTGGGGGACTGGGTCCTGGTGCCCCATCCTTTAGGGAGCAGCTGGCTCCTGCTGTGCCTCGACAGTTTAGATCACTCTAAAGAGTGAGACCTTAAAATAACTCCTCTCCTCTCCAACTACCCCTTGAAGCTTTTCACACTGGCTCTTACTTAGCAACCCATCTGCCCAAGATGGGCAGGTGCACCAGCTTGGAAGATGACCGTGGACCACCGAGCAACTCACTGAGGGTGCAGCTTGTAGAGGGTCCCATCCACACCGACCGTGACCTTGAGGAAGTCCAGCCCGCGGTTCTCCCGGATCTTGTCCACCACGGCTGCCATGCCAGCCCCGCAGAGCTGAGCTGCCCGCCGGGCCACCACTGTGCACACCTCCTTCACGATGATGCTGTCGTCGCATGTGGTCTCCAGGCCGAGGTGCTGGAGGATGGAGCGGACTTGGAGCAGGGCCAGGCAGTCACTGGGGAGGACACGAGGGCCAGGCAGCGTTAGGAGATGGAGCAACTTGGATGTGTGGCTTCCCCTTTCTTATCTACATCCTGCAGAGCCCAGGGACTTGCAGCTTGGGTGATACTGACTGGAGGGGCTCTACAGCTCCCCTCTAACCTCAGCTTCCAGACCTGGATGTGGCTCTGGTGTCACATCCTCATCAGTGAGGCTATTTCAGGACAAAGCCATTGACTGGGAGCAAGGCAGCTATTTAACCTGTGGCCCCTCTCTGTCCAGGGCAGAGGATAAGAGGCATCTGTGTTGCCAACACCAGACAGTTTCCTTGTCTCTCAACACGGGCGCTGTCAGAACCACATGGATTTTGCTGACTTATCAGCATTGTACTACCCTGTGTCATCCTGGCTCCAGACTGAGTGCTTGGCACTTCTCCCACAAGCCCGGGGAATGCTCTCCCCAAAGTACATCTCTGCTCTGATCTGCAGCTGTAAGACCAGTCCTCACCCCACCTGTTGGACCTCACCTTTCTATCTGGGACAGGAACTTGGTCTCAAAGATCCCTCTGGTCTTCAGCCTCTCTGAGATCCGTCCCCGGAAGAGCAGCCCTCGCTTGGTGAAATCCATCAGGATGTTTCGGACGATCTCCCCCAGGTACATCCCGCTGATCATCTTCTCAAACCTGGGAAGGAGAGGGCAAGGCTGGACATCAGGATGAGAAGGGACACTGGGTCTGGATGGGGATCCCAGCTCTGCCAGATGCCTTTGACGCAAACCCCTGGCCTGACACCCTGGAGCAAGTCCTGCAGCACGGTCCCCATGCTGCAGGCAGGGGACAAGGGACACATCGGTGTGTTTCAAAACCAGACTCTGCCCTGCTCATCATCCCCTGATGCTCCATCAAGAGGCTGGTGGGGCACCACTGAACTGTTCCTGGACACCCAGCCCCATGGATGGTCCCTTCCCAGCCCCCCCAAAGCCACCACGTGTGGTGGTGCCTTTCTTTCGCCCTCTCCAGGCTGATTTATGAACTCGGGAAGGCTCGCTAAGCCTTCGGATAAGTGTAATGAGTCGGGCAGTGAAGCGACCCTTGGCTGTGCCAGGAACAATTACCCAGGTAAGACAGGGAGATACGCCGTGCATCTCAAGGACTCCTGCTTGCCGGGCGAAGGCGGAGGTACGGGAGTAGGGATAGCCAGTTCTCATAACAACCTGCAGGCAGTTCTCTGTCGTAACAACCATGAGACATTACAGTCCTCCCCTGACAATCCTGGAGCACCCTGAATCTATGTTTTGAGTTATTCTCCAATGGTCTCAGAATTTTCCAGCACAGCTGGGATTCTAGCAATTTGTTAATGATGAAAGTCAATCATCTCCCAAACCTATAAACAGCGGTGCTGAGTGAGGCCCCTTGAGCTCTCCTGGACCGCAGCAGGCTGCAACCAGCATCTCCCTCCAAGTGGGATGCCTCTCGGAGCTTGCAAACTTTCTGGTTTGAGAAAATCAGAGGTCTGTTGCCGAAAACCAACACAACCTGGGCTGATTCTCTCAGCTCCTTGAGGCTCGACCCTTCGCCCGTTGAGACAAATGCCGAAGCGTTCGATGTGAATATTTTCACTGACCTCGAGGAGAATTTTTAACAGGTATGCCTGTTTCTACTCTCTTTTTACTCTCTTACATGTATTTCTTTTAGTGTCTTTATGCATGCATGTGTACTAGTGTGAATAGTCCATAGTAAGTAAGTTAGAGCAAATATATTATAAGATATAAGTTAATACTTTCAAATTTATACTTAATTTACTGTCATGATTTTTATTCAACTGTGAATGAATTTTAGGCTGCTGTTATACTCATAATCCCTTTAGACATAAACCATTGCTCAAGTCTGGGACTAGGAGTTGATCCAGCTGCACCTAGACTCCGACAGGAGTTTAGAAAGCAAGGGGGTCTTCTCTGAACCTCGTGACTCAACAGGAGGGTTTTAATTACCCTTTCCCACATTCCCTTTTACCCTATTATGTTTTCGGTCCCTATATACCTAAGTTTAGTTTGATTCTGATTTAATTTTCCTGTGTGCATTTTATCCATCTACTAAGTAATAGAGTGAACCTTGCCAACGAATTCCGTGAAGTCACACTTTTACACAAATTTCTATTAAATCATTTTTCTATTGCTAATACAATTGGAGGTCATTCTTTAAGCAATCTGAACCCCTCTCTTATTTGTAATTCCCCCGCGACACCACACACCTTTGCTTCCCAGGGTTGAGAGACAGCTCATCCACCGCCACGTCAAACTCCGTCCGTATGTCATCCAAGCACCCGTTGTCACCAAACGCCCCCCATTCCATGTTGACACACATCCTGCCCTCCTCCCCTTCCACCAGCTCCACGTTCCTCATCTCCTCCATGTAACAGGCATTGCTGCCTGTGCCTGTGGAGAAAGAAGCATCTTTCAATGGGGCTGTTGGAGAAGCGGGGTGCAGAGGCAAGATAAAAGCCCTCAGACAGCCTCTGCAGCCAAGAGCACCCCACAGGGACAGGTTTGGGACCGCAGGCAGAGGAACTCCATAAGAAAGCTTCAGTCCTCACCAACTATCAGCCCAACTTCGCAATACGGGTCTTCGTACCCACAGGTCATCATGGTGCCAACTGTGTCATTTACCACCGCGACCACGTCCAGGTCGAATTCCTGCAGAGGGATGGGATTGCATGGGTATTCCTGAAGGACACAGCTTGCTACATCTGCTCCTACAATTGGGAAAGGACCTGTCTGCTGAACATGGGAGTCCTCCTGGCAACCATAGACTTCCTGCAGCCCCACATGTCTGCAGGTGGACACTCAAACCTCAAGACACAACTGCAGAGGAGCTGGCACGCAGGGATGGCCCTGCCAGAAACAGCCCCCAGGGCAGGAGCTTTGGGTGGTCTGCACTGGGGAGATGGGCATGGTGTCCTCCTAACTCACAGAGAGACAAGTCAGCTCCAGCCCTGGCCAGAAGCCAGCTCTTAGCTCCGGGGTCTGAAAATCCAACCTCTAGCGATGACTAAGGGTGGCTGTTAAAATTCAGACACTCATTAGCCCTGGGCTCAGCCCATTAATTTGCTTTACAGGCCAATTAAAGATGCCAAAGACAGCCAGGATGTGGGAGCAAGCAGCCAGCTTCTCACAGCTACGTGGATACTCACCTCTCTCCTGTGAATTGCCTCCTTCAGCAGGTTCACCACATCTTCCCCTTCACAGCCAGTTGCCTTGAAACCTTTTGTCCACTTCAGGAGAATCCCCTGTTGTGGAAATACCCCACAGTAAATCACCCAGGTTGCTGGGGGGGAGGGACAGCAACCCCACGTCCACCGGCTCTTGGTGGGCACTGCCCGGCACGTGGAGGTCAGATCCTCACGCGCAGAGGATGCCTCAGCTGGGTTGTCTCAAGCACTCAAGGGATCTGCATGTGCTTTGATGCAGCAAGGGGGCTTTTCAGAAGCACCGCCAGCCCCAAGCTCCTGCCTTCCCCCTCTCTTGGGTCTCTGTCTGACCTGCCACATGGTCAGTGATGCTGGTACATAAAGTTTCCAGTGTGCTTTGGCTTTTCAGCCAGCCCTGGGTACTGGACGTGTACGCTACCATGTGGGTTGGGGTTACCTCATCCAGGTTGTTCTGCTGGCAAGGGAAGGAGAATGTGAATCCAAGCGGGAGCGATACGCCCTTCATTCCCATGTATTCCAGGAAGTCGGAGATGCAGTGGACGATGTGGTCGAAGAGCTGGGTGCGCAAAGCCAAAAGGAGAAGTTACCATCACAGGAAGAAACTCAGCTGGATGCCAGCCCGCCTGACCTACTGGAGACGTTGATCCATTCCCAAGCCAACAGGGCTTTGAACAGACCAGGGTGCTGTTCAGCTGCGCTGTGTGAGGTGAGCAAGCCCAAAACAGCTCCTTTTTCATCCTCTTCCCCACAGTGTGGTCATATCACTGTGATACCTCCACCTTGCAGGTCCCATACTGTGCCCAGAAGGGAAGGAGGGGCTAGCGGGGAGGTAAGCAGCTTCCCAGGGGTGACACAGGAATCCGGTCACTCTGCAAGGTATCCCCAGAGACCGTCTGCTAGAAATACTCCCCAGTCCCTGAGCACTGCCTGGAGTGGTTTGCAAAACTCTTTCCATCTGCAAATAAGACTCTGGAGACGTCTCTCACCGCTTGTGTTGTGGTTTCTCTAGCTGGGAAACAGGGATGATGCTTATCTGCCCTTGTGGAGTGTGTGGGATTCGGGGAGGTTCAGTGATGTCTGAGACTAATGCAATTTCTAACTTAAAAACCAGTCTCAAGCTTCCTAAAGCACATTTCAAACTCCTGAGCCTTGGGCAGAACTCACTGCTCTAAAGGCAGGAGAGCACCAGCCTTCTCCAGTCCTGGTTTTGCACCCTGGAAAGCAGAGCAAGGCAAAAACAGTTCCCATGGTCAGCCAGCACTACTGCCTGCCACTTCTGCTGCCAGGGAAGATGCCCCAGTTTTCCACCTCCAGCTGCCCATCCTCACCTCCTCTCCCGTCCCCTGCATGATCTCCACTGGGATGGAGTAGATCTTGTTGTGCATCTCAACACCACGCCTCATCCCGTTCCTGACGCGCACCAGCAGCACACGGAAATTGGTACCTCCCAGGTCCAGGGCGAGGAAATCTCCTTTTTCTGAAACCCAAGAGAGAATCGTTAGGAGAGAGATCCCAACAAGGGACATCCTGAATGTGGCACAAAGCTGATCCAAATCTGCCCTCTTCCTGGGAGAAGACCAGGAACCAAGACATGGCTGGGAACGGAGAACAGCAGGTACACGTAGGAACGTGATGGCAAGGTTTGCTCCAGACTTGGGGAGATCACAGGGCTTCAAGCCAAGGGGCAGGCGCACACCCAAGCCACTGACAGAACTGGGAGCACAACCCAGGACAATGGTGGTGAGAAACCTGCGGCAGTGAAAACCACAGTGAAAGCCAGGCTTTGTGTTAAGTCAAGTGCAGAACGTCCTGGAGGCTCAGCCACTTTTCCCAGTATCATACTGGAGGGTAAAAAGCTTTGCGCCACTCCCACCACGAAGAGGGAACTGGCCATGGCAAAGGTCCCATCCCTTCCCAAAGTGGTGCAGATGTTGGGAGTAGCGATGCTGGCTCTTTGCCTTACACAGGACATACGTGGGCTTATACACAGGGTACATCACCTGTCCCATCTGGAGTTGAGCACACGTAGGTGGGAAGCATTTTCACCGCTGCCTCTGCGTGCGTCTCCTTGCCCAGCCCCTTCTCCATCTCTATCCTCATCCTTTGCTTCACCTCCAGGAGCTGCTCATGGCTCAGCTTGAGCGCCTCCAAAATCCTCTGCCGTGCTTTGTGCTGGGCGGCCAGTCTGTAGGCCACCGCTGTCACCATGGCTGCCCCTTTGCCACTTCCATCTTCTGACCGCACAAAACGGATCTCGCAGTCTGGTAGCAGCTTCCGAACTGTCTTATGGAGGCGCCGGGCAAAGCTACGGAGGAGGAAAGAGGACCTGAGTATGCCACCGCAGGTGATGTGACCCTCTGGGGTTGTAAACGACTGGGGCCCCTTTGGGATCCAAATAGAGGTGCCCAGGGAAATATTTGGAGATGCTCTGCTTGTGCCAAGCTTTATCCACTGCTGGCAGGAACAGATTTGTGCTCTCTCACCCTCTCTCTCTCTCCCCACCAGCCTTGCCTATCTTCATGGACTCACTGAGGATGCTTCTTGTAGACAGAGCCATCCACACCAACCGTGGACCGCAGCCGGTCCACCCCCTTGTTCTCCTTGATGCGTCGCAGCACAGCTGCCAGGGTGGCCCCGCACAGGTTGGCCGAGCGGGTAGAGACGATCTGGCAGATGCGGTGGGTGGCCACACAGTCTTCATGAGATGGCTCCAGGCCCAGCTTGGTGAGGATCTCGTGGGCTTTCTGCAGTCCTTCTTTCTCCCTGCACATCAAAGAACAAAAAAAGGATTCATGCCTGGAAATCCAACTTTTGCCACCTGAAGTGTCCTGGTTTGCTCAGATGCTGGATAGCCCTGTAATGGGTCCTCTTTTCCCCCAGCACAGATGTCAGGAGATGGGCTGGGACCCCAGGAAACCATCCGGATCCTACTTACTTCTCAATAGCAGAGACATATCTGGTCTCAAAGTGGCCAGTAGTGAGCAGATCTGGTGTGAGCCTTCCTCCAAACAAGAGCCCTTCCTTGGCCATCTTCACCAGGATGAGTCTGACCAGCTCTCCCATGTACATCCCACTGATCATCTTCTCAAACCTGCCAACAGGGAAGCACAAGATGCATTTGTTTGGCTGCGTGTGCCATGAGGTGGCCACAGGTTGACCCCTAAAAACACTTGGCAGCCTTCCAGGCCCAAATGCAATCTGGGTAATCTCTTTCCACAGTAGTTTATCCCATCACTGAGAAAATAAAGCCATGTTGACATAACCATCGTTCTGCAAGAACTTATGGCTGCATGGAGGGGGTCTGTCAGTTTGCAGAGACCCCCCCCAAATCCCACCCATGCTGCCAGAAGCCATTTGGGGAATGGGAGATCTGTAGGACTTGGATGTGGACATTAGGTGGTGGTGTTTGCCTTGGCTGGCAGATAACTTCATTGGCGGGAGAAAGAAACAGAAATCAACACATTCAAGTGAAAGGCTCACAAGGGAAGCAAGTGTTGAGTGGTTCAGTTGGGTGTACCAACCCAAACTTGTGATACAGTCCCTATTTGCATTGGTGGCGCTGGCACGGCGGAGGACGTGGTGACCTAGTTAACTAGGACGACCTCTTCGGTCCCACTAATGCCAGCGCAATGGGAGGACGGACAATGCAAAGCAAACCCCAAGCCTGAGCCGAAGCCAAGAATCTGCTTACAATTGTTTGCCAGGGTTGAGCGAGCCCATGTCTATCTCGCGGTCGAACTCTGTCCGGATGTCGTTGAGCACACCGTCGTCACCGAAGGCCCCCCACTCCATGTTGATGCACATCCGACCTTCGTCCCCTTCCACCAGGTCAATGTGCCTCATCTCCTCCATGTAACAGGCGTTGGTACCGGTACCTGAACCAAGCAGCGTGACACGGTGAGACAGGATGCTGCCTTTCCCTTATTCCCCATAATTACCAACAGCCAAATGCACCATAGAAAGCAAAGATGGAAGAAGGCGAACATTGGGCAATGCTGGTTTTCTAACATCGCTATACCCTTTCTTTTTCCCCCAAAAGACCCTGAAACCTGCAAGAAATGTGATCTCCTTCTGGAGTTCATGCAGAGGTGGACCCCAATTCTCCCCCCCCTTGCTGCAGCTCACCAACAATGAGGCCAACTTCACAGTTATGATCATCATAGCCACAGGTCATCATGGTCCCAACGGTGTCGTTCACCACAGCCACAATGTCAATGTCAAAGTCCTGAGATGGTGGAGAGGAGAGAGATTGAGTCAGCATGGCCAAACCAGACCAAAACATCTCTGCTGTCACGGTGGAGCCTTAAGTATCCTGTCCCACCCCCCCAGGAGGTGACAGGCCTGCCCAACCTCTTACCCCTCTTTTCTTGATGGACTTGCGCAGCATCGACACCACGTCTTTCCCCTCCACGCTGCTGCATTTGAATCCCTTCGTCCAAGTAACGAGGATGCTCTACGGAGAAAGAGCAAGAAGGAATGCTTGGAGGACTGACCCACCAAGCCACGTGTCTCAAGGGCTCCCTGGTGCAAGGGAAGGGCTGGGTGGACACACAGGTCAGTCCTTCCCTATTATCAGCTTGCAAGCTGTGGTATCAGCAATAATTTCCGCGTCTCTGCGCAGATAAAGTTTATGGCCGCGAAATAGCACACGAGTTGCTCATTGCTCCTGCTGGCAGGAGGGAACGTGATTCCAGTGACTGGGTTTTATGGAGCCCTGGAGCAAAACCTGTTCCCAAGCCTATGGAGAGCTCCTTGACCCATCCCTGCGGGATGGAGGTCTCGCCATCCCCTGTGGCTAGAGGCATCAGGTGTGTTCCCACCCAGCAGAGCCATTGCAGTCACCTGGCCGGAGGCTGAGCTGAGCCTTGGGGGAAGGGAAAGGACTCAGTTGCATCCAAAATCTCCAGCCCTAGAGCCCCAGATGCCTTAGTGAGGCAAACGCCCGCCCTGCCTGACAGATGGGGAAACTGAGGCACAGAGAGAAGCAAAGCAGACGAGGTCACCGGGGACAGATGCTTCCTCTCTCAGCTTCTCTTTTTTTTTTTTTTTTTTTTTTTCCTTTTTTACAGCCCCTGCTTCTACCACGAGGAAAGCATTAATCTTCTTCCTCATTACTTTTGCTGAATCGCTCAGGCACAGGAGCATGACTTGCCCCATCCCTGGTACAAAATGCCGCTGCGTTCCCCACCCAGGGAGGACGTGCTGGATCGCCAGCACGCCATGGAGCCGCCCTCCTTTCTGATCCTGCCTGGGAAGCCGGGTGAGATAAGGGCAAGAAAAGCACCGCTTCCCCCCCCACCCCAAGAGCAAGAGCCAGGCAGAGGCCGTGGGTGGCAGGCGAGGGGCCACGTGCCTCAGCTGGGCTCTGCTTGCCGAGATGTTTAGTCTCCCAGCAAGGTCACCAGCTCCCAGCGGAGAGCTGGTGCAGCTGAGCGGAGCTGACAGCCATCGATTCCCGGCTGCCCGGAGTACGGCGAGCAGCTGGGGCAGGTGACACCCCCTCCCTCCCTCTCCCTGCGCTGGCTGCGTGATGGGGAATGTGATGCTCGGCACGTCTGGGCTGCCTTTGGCTGCAGGCGGCTGCTCTCGCCCGCCACAGCCGCTCTCCTTGAGCTCTGTCTGCAGAGGGGAAAAAGCTGCATTCCGCAGAGGCATCCATGCACAGCGGAGCTACCGGCACATTAAACATCACCTCCCAGACCCCTGCAAGCCCCGGAATGCATCTTTTGCTCCCATCAGCACCAAGACCTCACATGCTACCCAAACCCAACGAGCCAAATTAAAAGCACAAGCTAAATTGGTGTGGGACAACTATTGCTCCCAGCGAGAGCTCGCCCCCATCCCACTGCATCCCAGGCTCAGCCACAACCCTCGGCAAGGAGGCAAGACCTTCACTCACCTCATCCAGCTTGGTCTGGTGACACGGGAAGGAGAAGGTGAACCCAAGGGGGAGTTTCTTGTCTTTGATTTTCAGCTTGTCCATGAAGTTGGCCAAGCACTCAGCAATGTGGTCAAAGAGCTGAAATGAAGGCAAAGAGTGAGCCCTTGCCCTGCTGTCCCGACTAAGACGATGCACCGGAACAGTGCCGGCATCCCTGCCTGCTTGAGGGACCAGTGGTCTGTCACCCAAATGACACCTCCATGGTCCTCACCCATCATGGTTACTTGGTGTCAGGAATTAATAGCTCTGGGCAAAGGAAGGCAAGGATCTACCTGGATCCTGCCGGGCAAGGCAGCAATAGGGTGCTGCTCCAACCCCATTACACAGCTCGGGGTTTTGGGGTGACACCAGCCCTCCCTTCAGGCAGGAGAACTGCCCCAAAATGGGTGGTTCCCCCCATGGCAAGGGAAGCCCTGGAGTTGGGGGGCTGCCCAGGAAAGCAGGGATGGAGGGGGAGAGGGGTTGAACCCACCTGCACCCCGCTGCCTCGCATGAGTTCCTCAGGGATGGCGTAGATCTGATTTTCCATTTCAACCTTCTGCAGGCCGTTGTCGGACACCTTCACTCTCAGCACACGGAAATTGGTGCCACCGAGGTCCAGTGCCAAGAAGTCCCCATCCTCTGCGGGAACCCAGACAAGAACAACCATTTAACTCGGCAGGTCCCTTTCAGCAGTATCAGTGCCCGTGCCAGACAGCCCCAGAGCAGGCGAGGAAGTAACCAGCCACCTCACAAATAGGAGGGTAAGGTATGACTTTTTAAAATTATTTTTTCATTATTTTATTTATTATATATTTGGTAGGTTTTTGTATTTTATCAGAGCTGTGGCTGTATTTCCTGCCCTTCCTCTGCACCCCTGGCACCCCCATAGCTGATGGGAGTTCAAAGCAACATCTTTGAGACGTATCCTGATGCCCTGGGTAGGGCATGCAGAGGCAGTGGCTGAGCTAGGAGCATGTCGGCTGGCAGGAGGACAGATCCCACCGGCTCCATCCAGACAAGCCCATGCCCAAACCGACAGCGCTCCCAGGGGAGGAGAGCTCCAGCCTCGGGCTCCATAAGGAAGAAGGCGGCAGAGACATTCCTGGCCCTATTGATGTAGGATGCTCATGAAAGCTCCTAAATCTCCGGCCCAAGCAGTTAAAACCCTGCTAGCCAGCTGTTGAAACACTAGAGTTTGGCTAAAAATTTGATACATGGAAAAAAAACTCATGTTCAGGCTTGGCTGCCGCAGTCCAGGACAACCTTCCCCTGCCTTGCCCCAGGAATCCCATGCACTCCTGGCATGTGGCTTCTCGCCGAAGGCAAGATTGAAAGGTGTAAGCAGGAAACCAGGGAGGAAAAAAAAATCCAAAAGACCTTCAGGGCCTCATTGCTGTCTTCCCCAGGCAGACGTGGGAAGCAATTTCTCCATTGGTGTTGGCCAAGAGGAGACCCGGGTCCTGCTACCTCCAAGACCCAAGGGCTGAGCCCAGCAGGTCTCACCTCCTATTTTGTTTTTATTGTACCAGGCACCAAGGCAGCTCGCTGAATTTTGGACCAACTGAGACCTGGGATGTGGGAAAAGTGCCAAGCTGGCTGTTTTAAATACCTAGCAGTGTGGGGAGAGGGATGGGGGAAAGCCCTCTATCAGCACTGTTTGATTTCTGAATGCATTAAATGTGCTGTGCTGGCTCCCCCGGGCAGATTACAGCGCCCGGGGGCCGCATTGTGCCCGCCGATGCTTTTACAAAGGGGCTACAGTTGAAACAAAAAGTGTGGTTTATTAGTATTCAAATGACACCAGGCCAGCCAGCATCTCCAGTGACTCCAGCTGAAAAGGCAGCTTGCTGTCCAAGCCTGCGGGGCGTCCATCTGTCCTGGCGTCTTTCCTGGGGCTGACCCTCGGAGGACTCGGGGCGAGGGAACTGGGGACGGTGACAGACTCTGAGCCTGGGCTGAGAGCAGCTTTATAAAGTCCCTCTGCGGCTGAAAAGGTCTATTAAAAGCAGTCCTCGTGCTCCGAGGAAATGAGATGAGGAATAAGAGGGGCTCAGAGGTCTTGAGCAGCATTCAACAGCCTTGCCACTCAGGATGGAGAACGGGGGGAGCACTGGGGGGGGGTCAGTACATGACCCCAGGGGTGATGCAGGGCAGGTTGGGTCCCGGCTCTCGGTGGTACCAGCCCATGCCAAGCCCCGCTGTACAGGCTGCGATGCCCTGGCTGCAGTCCCGTCGATTAAGGTTATACCCCGAGATCAACCAGACGGCGAGACGAGGAGATGCCGAGGCAGTTACACCATTATTTTAACAAAAGCTGAAGTTCAGCTGAGTCCCTGTACGGGCTCTGGCCAACCCTCGCATCATCTCTGGAGCAACACGCACACCCCCTGCAGGAGCCGTTAACCCGGAACCATGGAGCACTCCAAACCTGGACCCCATCAAAGCTTTGCAACTCATCCCTCCTCGGGTAACACCCTCAGCATAGCTCTGAGTGAGGCAGCGTAGCCAAGGGCCGTCCTGTTCAGCGCTTACGGGGTCGGAGAACAGCACGGGAGCTGGCGGAGCACCAAAAGTTGGGGCCGTCAAACCCTGAATATTCATTTCTCCTCCTTGCCTTGCACCCGCGTTGACCCTTTGCAGGGATGAGGTTTAAACCAGTTTGGCAGCTCGTTTTGCAGACTGTCTGCCAGCCACAGGGCATGCCTTGGCCCTGTCTCTTTACACAGGATGCTGAAAAATGCACCAGGAAAACCCTCAGCGAAGCTCCTCGCTGTCCTGATGTCACCGGTAAGCCCACTGTGGGGATTTAGTCTCGGCCACAGATGGGCAGAGCTGGATGCGATGCCTGGCTGGGCACAGCTGGCACCAAGTTCTGCCCCAAACACGGGTTGAGCCATACTCCTGCTTCCCTTGCTGTCGACACAGATGCCATTCTGCTTGCTAGCGGAGAATGAAAACTACTTCAGGAGGCTGATAAATATGCCAGGGCTAGGGATGCTTGAGCCAAGATGGTCACAGGTTGCTCAGCTCCTTGGAGATAACGTGGGGAGCCCAGGAGCATCCCAAAAACAAAAAGGCCAAGGAGCCACGGATGGGGCTGTCCTCTTGTCCTGCCCAGCCCTCCGCATACCCAATATTTTGGCCAAAGCACCCCTGTGAGGCTCGTTGCCCACAGAGCTGTATCAAACCAGCTTTCCTTTGACCTGCCGCCCGCCGACCCTCACCACAAAGCAGCAGCGGGACCCAACGTAACAACCAAAAATCCCCCTTACAAGCTGCTCAGCAGTCACGGGGAGAGGTACAAGTGGTTCGAGTGGTGACTGCTGAAGTCAAGGGGTGGATTTCCAGGCAGATCAGCTTTGCAGGTGGAAAAAGGCAGCAAAATTTCCCAGGCTGAAGCAAGACAGCTGCATGATGGCCTCCACTGGCTGATACCACATCTGGGTCCTCCCTCTGATTAGGGCTCCCTTGTTACGTGATAAGATAGAGGCTGCGATGCTGAGCTCACAAACCAAACAGCAAGGGTAAGCATGGAGCTCTGATTCTAAGGGTCTGTTTGCTCTCAGCAAACCACCTAAAAGTGCCTGTTTAGTGCCTTTAAAAAAGCCTGCGCTCCCTGGAAAAAGCATGGGGCAAAGCGGGCAAAGGAGCTCTGCCGTCCTTAGAAATGCAGCTGGGGCCAGGGGACCGGAGCATCATATGCCAGAACATGCCCCAGCATCTTGGAGGTCGGTCACTCCAGCCCTCCCATCTCAAACCTCAAGGCTTCCAACCTGACTGCAATCCCATTTTGTAGGAATCTTTGGTCAAATCGGCTTAATAAAAAAAATAAGAGGAAGAGAAAAAGCTGGAGCAGGTCCAGGCTCTGCCCCCCAGGGAGACGCAGGAGAAGGTGGAGGGTCAGACCCTGGCATTTCCCACGGCGAGCCCTGTCTGCGGACGCCCTTGCCAGCCCTACCCTGCCTCCTTTCAGCAAGTTGACAGGCTTTGAGCAGAAGAAAGAATATAAAAGCCCTGGTGCTCGCATCAGCATCTCTACCGAATTAGCGCTGGAGAGCAGCAAAGGGGCTTATGATGTACTGGGCATGAAATACTGGGGTTGCAGCAGCAAAAGATCTGGGTTTAACCTGGTGGTTTGTTTTGGACAGAATTGGGTCCAGCAAAGAGCAACTCACACTGACCACAGCAAGAGTCATCTGGCAGTGATTCCCCAATGCGATTTCTTGCTGGGGACTGCAGTAAATCACCCCGCAAGGGGCTCTGGGCATGAAAAAAGCATTTTCTTTAAAGCCTTTCAAGACCATGGGCCATGCGAGCTGGTTTTGTTGCAGAAGCAGCTGGTTATTGGCAGGAACTGTGCCCACCGGTCAAGGGAAGGGTGTTGCGAGGAACCATCCTTTGAATTTCCAGGGGTTTGACCACCAAAGTCCTGCAACATCCTCCTGAAAACTCCAGACCATGGATATCAGCTGCTGGGGCTTAACGGAGGATGCACCAGCAGATCCTCGTGTCAACATCAGCATGGAGGAGGAAACGCGGTGACACTTGCAAAGCCTGGAAAAAACAGGAAAGGAGCAGGGAGGAAGGTGGTGTTTGCACTAAGCAATGACAGCCCTTGCTCAGAGTCCCTGGGGCTCCACGGAAAAGTTTATTTGGGGTCTGTTTTCCCCCACCAGCCTGCAGTACGATGCACACTACCACACTGCAAGCACGGCACAGCGGGCTTTTTGGTTGGAGCTGGAGCCAAGCAAAGCAAGGAATGTTGCTTTTAGGAGAGATCCCACTTCAGAAGCAGAAATTCCCCCCCGTCTTATTGCATCAGGAACGGCAAAGCCACCAAGAGCCAAACCCACGCGGCACTGAGGAGAGTGGAGTGGTCGGGAGCCTGGTCTGTGTTTTGACTTAATCTCGCAGATGTGACCTTGTATTTCTATAAGCACCTCTCATCCGCCTGGATCCCAGGGAGCTGCTGGCTGTGCATTAAACGGGGCATAATCCGAAAGCAGAGACGACTCGTGCTATAGCAAGGAGGCGAAGGAAGGGCAGGGATGCTTTGCAGGAGGAAGGTGTGGAGCCCCTGAAGCCAGCGTGGCACCGGCATCGGGGCAGAGCTGGCGTGGCCACAAGCAGGGCTGGAGCAGAGGAATAACCTGTCTTTCGGGTGAGAGGCAGCTGCTGATACCTGAAGTGGGTGGGAGCGGGACTTTGTGCCCAGCCGAAGACAGACTTTGCCCAGAAGCTTCAAAAAAAAGCAGAAGAAGGAAGGGCGCACCCCTGGATGTTGAGCTCTTCCTGAGCTGCTGTCATGCCGTCTCGTCACAAAGCCAATGTGCCAGGGGAGCTGGCACCGAGCCCCCACCTTGGGCTGGCCTCAGCTTGCCCCCACGTGCCACCTTCCAGGCCTCCCCCCCCGGCCTGCAAAACTCAACAGCAGAGACACCAACGCCGCTCACGGCCTGGATCCAGCTGGAGCCATACAGGGAATCCCAGCTCTTGGCTCCCCAGGGACTTGCTTGAAAACCTCCCGCTTTCCAGTTCCTGGGCAGCTGCAGCCCTGTGCCTGCCCCAGCATCCCATTCCCGTAACATTTTCCGTGCTGCCATGCCCCTTTCCCCGCTGTGCTGAGCTTGGTTTGGGTGAGAAATGCCAGCTGGGACACTGGAGAAGCTGCAAATCAGGAGGATATGGTGAAGGAAGCCAAGGCTCATTCTTTTAAGGGCAAGGAGAGGGATTGCACCTTCTCCCTAATATGGGTCAGGGTGCTGAGAGCTTTGCTGCTGCCTCTTGGGAGCTCTGACACACGCTCCGCCAGCACCCAGCACCTTTGGCTGCAATAGTTCCCGTGCCCAGGGGCAGAATTCTGGCTATCCCTATAATTAAAAATATTCTTAAACATTTAAATAGATTGAAATCTCCATCCTGGGGCAGGCAGCCAGGTCCAGCTTTTGGGTGTACGTGCACCGGGGGGGGCCGAGCACACAGGATGCAGCAGGCAGGATGGCTCTGGGTGCAGGGATGCTTCAATGCTTAAAGGGGGCTTATAAGAAAGATGGGGAATGACTTTTTAGCAGGGCCTGTAGCAATAGGACAAGGAGTAATGGTTTTAAACTAAAAGAGGGCAGATTCAGACTAGATATAAGGAAGAAATTTTTACAATGAGGGTGGTGAAGCAGTGGCACAGGTTGCCCAGAATGGTGGTCGCTGCCCCATCCCTGGGAACATTCCAGATCAGGTTGGACGGGGCTCTGAGCAACCTGATCTAGTTGAAGATGTCCCTGCTCATGGCAGGGGGGGTGGACTAGATGACCTTTAAAGGTTCCTTCCAACCCAAACTATTCTATGATGCCTGTGACTCCCCAGGGACTTGTCTCCTCAGACCTCACCAAGATGTTCCCAGCAAACACCCACCCAGAGCTGGCCGGTGACTCAGACCTTCAGCTCATCACCTTGGTCTTTGCCTCGAGACAGCGGACAGCCAGCAGCAATGGGGTTTTTTTGGCTGTTCGAGCACGGCTACCTCTCGGGTACGCCCTATTTAACACCATCACTCAACCAGCAGGCTCACACCGGCTCGGCATGCTTCTCAGGAGAGGAAACTCCAGTCTGCCCAGTCGCTGCCCGCCAAGGCCAGGTCACTCGAGACTCCAGCCACAGCATCTGCTGGGACCCGCTCACCCCGCAGAAGCCAGGTATGAAAATACAGCGGTGGCAAAACAGCTGGGGATGGCGAGGGAAGGGCAGATGGGTCTTTCCGTCAGCTCCCTTCCTCTTTTTCCACCTTTTCTGCTGGCTATCAGCAGTCTCTGTCGCTGAGGTTTTGCAAGGACCTCCATGAAGGTGCTGATGCTGGAGCAACCCCAGCTCTGAGCAACACCAGCCAACGGGACCGACTGGCCCAGGGACTTTCTTTGGGGCTGCTGCCAGCCCAGATTGCGGAGCCAAGGGCAGCTCCGGCTGCTCGGGGCTCTCTGTCCCTCCCTGCCCTTCAGCAGCTAGGACCGCTTCACCGGCTTCGAGCACCGGGAGACTCGGCAGGTGCTGGGTGGCATCTGCATCCCACTGCATGCCGGCGGGCAAGGGGCAACGCTGCAGGAACCGCGACAAAGCTCCTTCCCGAAAGACCAAGCTAGGAGGGGGAAGCACAAGGAAATTTCCCATATGGATGCTCAAGGAAGCAGTTTTTTGGGTTGAGAGGAGCAAACCAGAGCCTGAAACAGGGCTGCGGCCAGCTGGGAGTGTGCTGCAGGCAGGCCAGCTCCTGCCAGCGCGGGAAGCAGGCAGAAAGGCCATATTGTGAGAAGCCGAGTCTGAAGAGCCCTCTTCTCCTCCTGTGGCCCTCGTGGCATTCAGACAGTGGCTGGCACCAGTGCCCGCTTCAGCGCTAATGAAATCTGATGAGCCGGACCCGTGACTGTCTCCATCCTGCCAGGAAGGACACACGAGGGCTGGTTCCCACCCTCCCTCCCACCAGCGGGAACTGGGAGCCCCCCCAGTCCCAGCCCAGGGCGGGGGGGATGAGACCTGTCCCCATGCTAAGCCTTGCTCAGCAGAAGCAGGGTGAAGCCCCAAGGACCAGGAGTGAAGGTGGCCATGGGTGCTATCCCTGCTTCGGCAGTGCCGTGAGGATGGGTGGCCCAGGCTTTTCCTCCTGGCATGTGTCAGCAGCTACCGAGACCTCCCCACCATGCTCTCCCTCTGCTCTGCCAGGAGGGAGCATCTCCCATCTCACGGTACCTGTCCCATCCGGGGTGGATCTCACGAAGGTGGGCAGCATCTTCACCGAGGCGGTGGGGTTGGTGTCTGCTCCCAGCCCTTTCTCCATCTCCTTCCCAAAACGCTGGGATACCTCCTGGAGGGTCTCCTCGGAGAGCCGCATGTGGTACAGGTACTTGTCGATCTGAAAGGTGGAGATAAAGCAAAAAAAGTCAGCTGGAGGGTTGGGGACATGGGCACAACCCCCGTGACACATTCAGGACAGTGTTCAGCCCCTCTCATGTCTGCTGGGGCTGATGCAAGAAGCAGGAGCAGGTCGTGACCCACCCCGAAGGGCAGGACACGGCTGCGCCAGCACATTGCCGACACGGCACCGCCAGCAGTGCCGCAACAGCTTATCTCCACGCATGCCAGTAACGCCCGCTGCCATTCTTGCACCTCTTCCCAAGCATCCGGGGCTGCTCTCCAAAGAGCTCACCAAATGCCACCCCGCACCTCCTCGGCAGCATCCCCTTGCCCAGACGGGTGCCAACTTGGGAACACCGAACACCGAGGAGCTCCTGATGCTCCGCAGCATCTTCTCCGCTCATTCACCTACGGGAACCCAAACAGGTTGCGACAGAAGTAAGACCCAAACTCGACAACCTTCTCTGCCCAGGCTGTGAGTCAGGAGGTCGGTGCCGGAGGTTTTCCAGCTGCGGAGCCCTTCCTACGCCACGGCAGCAACGTGCCTCAACCTTGACCCCCCAGGGCCTCTTCCTACGTGAAGGATGCTCGGCAGGAATCCACTGCCCATTCATTTCTTTGCTGCTGAGATCACCCCTACAAAGGGTTACGGTGCTGAGAGCTACTCAACCCCCTTGAGCAAACAACGCTGTGTGACACAAGTGGGTGCAGTGGCCGGAAAGGGAAGAAATCCACCCCCCTCTGCTCCTGGCAATTGTTTATACCCTTACGCTGAGGCTACGAAGATGGCCAGCTCCTATAAACAGCATCAAAGCGTCTCATCTTCCCTGGGAAAGGCATGGAAAAACTCCTCCCCGACCCATCCATTAGCACCATGCATGCCTCTGCAGCCTGGCCGGAGCAGGGAAGGGAAACGGAGAGGCGGACAGACTGCCAGCTCCCAAACTATGCCCTGTTTCAATTAACTTCACTTAAAATTAATTAAAGGGCAGCTGCAAGCCCTGCGAAGTCAAGAGGAAATCTCCACCCAGTTAGCTCACCTGTCTGTAGGCACGTAACATAAGGTCATCAGAAATCAAGCATGAATTTTTTTTTTATAGGGCTACGCTATAGGAAATGGGCATTTTGTGGGCAAGTAATAGCCATCCGCCCCAGCGTGACCTTGCTCACAGATGCAGCCGCTTGGACCCTGGGCTGAACAAAACAGCTCTGCTGTGGTTTTGGCTGCCTGCGTTTCAGGCTTGGGATGCTCCGGCGTATCCTCCCCCACTCCATCCCACTAGCTCTGCTGGAAATTTGGAAGCTGAGTCCCCAGTTGCTCCGCTTGCTGCAGCAAGGTCAGAGGATGGAGGGAAGCCCAGCTGAGCACGCTCCAGGAGACATGCTTTATTCCCAGGGGAGTGGCATCCTTCCTGATGTGATGGGTAAAACCTCCTCCTGATTTCTCTCGGTGCTTTCAGCTCCTTCCCACTAATCTGGAGCAGAGAAGGAGCGCCTGCCAGCTGGGAGACCAGGAAGGTGTGAGGGAAAGGATAAGGATAAGGAAAACTCGAGGTTTCCCAGTGCTGGCTGTTTACCAGCCCCTCCTTATCTACCCCAGCAGCAGGAAGTCAAGCACTCTCCTCCTTCCACTCCTATTTGCTTTCGCTTGCTGAAAATTGCCACCCGTGTACAGAGGCTCTGGTCCCTGGCACAGGGAAGGTGGCCGCTGCCCCAGCCCACCTCCACCTTCTCCTTCCTCTTCCAGCTTCAAGAGGGGCCCTGGGTCGGGAGCCCACCTCCACCCCAGCCTCAGGGTAGGAAATCTCCTGTTTATGGTTATCGGTCAACGCTATCAACCCAGGACAGATGGCCCAACCCCATTTCTTAGCTGTAAGCCAGAGAAGATGATAGTGTTATCTTGGCTCGCAGAGGCCTTTCACAACCTCCTTGGGAGGCACTGACCTGCCCCTTGGCACAGGGAGGACCTCAGCCAGACTCTGTGTCCTCTCTGGCAGCATCTGACCTGGAGTGTGGGTGATAATTAAGAGACAAACCCAGCTAAGACTGGGTGCTCTGCCACCCAGCAGCCTCTCGCCTCCATGAGACCTTCCTTCACTGGGCCTCTTTGGCAGCCAACGGTGGTCAGGGGGTCCTGGTGAGACCATCATGAGTGGGAATGGGGTCCCAGTGAGGTGTCCCCATCCCAGCAGTGGGGTACCGCACCAGGAGGGCTCGGGGCAGAGCTTCACCCTTGCACAAACAAAAAAAATGTTTCTCTCCTGTCCGCCACCCTGACTTTGCTTGTGTTTCCTCCTAGACTGGCAAGATACCGCTAGAAGATCTCATCCCAGAGAAGGTGGATGCTTTGGAAGCTCAGATGCACAAGAAGCCATCGTTGTTTGGTCCTTGACCCCTGCCCAAGGTACAGGGCAGCGAAGGTGCTGCACGCACAACCTGCCAGCCCCTAAAATTACATCACGGGGAAACGACGCGGAGGTTTCACCTCCTTTCTCCAGGACAGGCACCACTCAGCACGTTCCCCATGTCCTCCAGGCTCCACCGTACCAGGAATAATCAGCAGCTTGAGAAACAGTGACCTTCTTCTAATCTCCAAAGCCATTTAAAACCTGGATCATCTTCTCCTATGGATGTAGACGTTGTCCCACTTGGCAGCTAAGGCAGGTCAGGACGTCCCACAGAACGGCTCCAGGGCAACAGCAGCTCAGATCCTTCCCAAGCGAGACCACCTCAGTGCAGACCTGACCCCCACCAAGGAAGGGCCATGGCCACCGTCATGCCCAAGGCTTCCCTGCCCCACGGTTCGGTTCATTACTCCAATTACCCCTCCTGCACACAAGCACATCTCAAATTGTAGCAAAGATCGGGTAAGACAGGGGAATTTAGTCTGCAGCGCCGAAGCAGGAGTATCTTTGAAGACAAACAACCTTCTTGGTTGTTTAACCTTTTGTAAGATCCTTGCCAATTCCAAATAAATAAAGTCACTAGGTTAGGATCCGGAATGGGGCAATTTAATTTCTGGAAAGCTTCCATCATAAATAATAGTGTTTCCCTGAGGAAGTCTAAATAAACTGAATGGAGGAGGAACAGATTTAAGCTGGGATGTGCTGGGCATGCTCACAGCCGAGGACAGTTGCAGGACATTTTGTTAAAGAACCAGATCATTAGACCCACTGCAGGTGAAACGCGTTTGATGCAATTTTTTGGAAGTAAAACCAAGCAAATCCCCGTCTCCTACCTCAGGGCTGTCTCCAAAGGCTCAGCTAATTTCTACGCCAAGCATCCGCCGCCAGGTGCTGGGGAAGCGCCCAGTGTTGCCCTTCCCAGCTGCAAGGCCACCGTTGGGCAAGGTCCATCCGCCCCAAGGCTGAAGAAACCTCACATTGCCCAATTTTTGCCGCCAGCTGGAAGTGGAGTGAGCTGTGCCACGCTTAAAATACCCCAAAAGCCAGGTTTGCCTTTGCAATGATGGTAGTAACTCACGGCACCAGTACCAGCACTACAGCTGGATGATGATGTTCTTTTGCCTGAAGATGCCTCTTAATCCTGCCATTGGGGCTGGACCCTAAGGGCTCAGTTCTGCAATGTATTAGCCTGCGAATAACTTCATTCCAATTCAATGCCACTATCCACGGAGAAAAAAATTAATTCCTCAGTTTATATGTTTGCAAGATGGTCCTGTCGACGCAGCGACTTGCAAGAGTGGAAAAACCCTCCCCGACAGATCTATCCCACGTCGCTGTCCCCCCTCAGCGGGGGGATGCACGGCCGGTGGTTCTGCTCGAGAGGTCCGAAGCAGGGAGGATGAAGGATGCTTTTCCCCTCGCAGTGGTAGTGGGGACCCTGTTCCCCATCGTTCAGCAGGGTCGTGGGCCAGGATGGCTGGCAGTGACAGCAATTACAGCGTGACAGAGGCTTCCGGCAAAGCGCAACCGTTTCCTGCCCAGCAAATGGCAGCGGGGAAGGGGAAGGGGAAGGACTCGGGGCGGTTTATTCTCGTGCAATAAGGTTTCAGCCACATCTTCCCCATTAACGATCCCAAGGTTCTGGGAAGGAAAAGCTGCTCCTTTTTAGTTTTAGTTTTGCTCCAGGTCTTTCTCGAAAGCCACGTGTCTGGCGAGAAGCAGACTGGGATCGAATGTTTCCAGACGCCCAGTATCTGCTCACTGTAGTTTTCAGCTGGTTGTGCATCATTTCAGCAGCGTTTGGGGGAAAAAGCAGAATACTGGAAGAGGTTAGCTGGTTTCTGGGCTGAACTGTTCCTTTTTGGCAACAGAAAGTAAAATATTTGTTGTGTACGAGAACAACAGAGAGATGTTCAAGTTTGGGGAAAGGCTTGAGCACTCCTAACCTACAAGTGTGCACAGTCAATCCTCTCTCCAGGGTAATCTCTGCCTGAAATTATTTTTTCTTCAAATTACTTCCCTCCCTCTCCCAGTTTTTAACTTAAAACATGCTGCTTTTTTAAAAATCACTGAAGTTTTTCAGATATACCGATTCTCTCCTTGCTTCTTTCAGAGAGAGATGCTGTGTGAGCACCCAGCGGTTACCAAGGCAAGCTGGCAGCCGTGCTCCCATCCCACTGGATCTGCGGCAGGACGTGACAGATTTGGGGAAACTGAGGCAGAGGGAGAGGCAGCAATTCACCGAGGTCGCAGGGTGAAGCCGGGAAAGCATCCAGCACGGAGAGTGTTTTATTTCCTGGCTCGGGACTCTAGCCTGGCACGTACTTCGCAACTTTTATTGTCGGATCAGGGACGGGCACCGCAGCCCAGGACAGACACCGTGCCACATCCTCAGCCCCTGCATACTGAAAACCAGCGCTCCCCATCCCCATGTCACTGTGCCGTTACCCAGCCTGGCTTGACTCAGTGCCGGGAACCGGCTCATCCCCTTCCACGACCTCCCCACCTTCGGTGACACAGGACTGATGCTAGGCTGCACCCACCCTCCTCCAGCCCTGACCCCAGCAGCACCCACGTCCTTGGCTGCTATTGA